TACAAGACCTTATGCAAGACTAAGAAGACGTATCTTGTTATTGTCAATACTTAACCCACTTTCATAATCATAAACTGGACATTGCAAGGGTGATGCCAATTAATCAAGTATTGTGCACGTGCCTACGTATACAAGTAGGCCTATGATATCATTATAATTCAGTAGCTCTCACTCGGTTCACTAAATTTACAGTATCCAAACTTAACATGCTTTCGAAGCGTCTGTATGCACAAGATATAACTCTATCCCTAGAGGCAGCGACACGGATAAAGGCCATGCGTGGGTACTGGGTGGTTCATACAATACTCCGATGTCGCCACACTAGCGTCTCTCAACGAGTGATATCTCATGATTACATTCAACTTCAGTCGAGCCAGCCAAGGCAGCACCTCTACAATTAGAACATCTACATCAAAATCCACAGCACACAGCACATCACACAGAACAGCACAGCAATTGCAAGAAAAAATCGATAATTCATTTAATCACTTTCACCCCATCCATATACTGGCCATCAAAGAAACCCCACCACACGAACGCACAAACACACGCACACACGACACACGACACACGCACTACAAACCCTAAGAAGCTTCAAAGTCAAGCAAAAGCAAAAAGACGCAAAAGTCATTGTCAATTCGTATCCATTTTTTTTAAACCCCCGCTCTCCCTCACCCTCCCTTTCCCTCTTCTCCACCACAACCACAACCACAACCATATCCAATCCAGCCTCGACAGAACCGCACGCACACTACCATTTTTTGTCACTCCTTTTTTTCTTTTACTTTAGGTGCCAAAAATTATAAACTGAAAAAAAAACCGAAAACGAAAAAAAAAATAAATGACAAAATGGAAAAATGATTAAAGCCTTGTTGCAAAAAAAATGAGGTGAGTTATAGGAAAACTAAGATTTCCAGCACACGGCGGACGTGTGCCATGGTATCAATTTTTTTCGTTTTCATCGCTGTTAACCATAAGCTTTAACGGTAGTGGGGCGGAGGCGGCGGTGGGGGAGGCTGGTCGTTTGATGGAGGTGGTGGTGGCGGAGGAGGAGGGGGAGGAGGTGGTGCGAGAGAAGATGGAGGTGGGGGTGGCGGGTTGCCGGGAGGCGGTGGTGGGATTGAGACATAGGAGGAGGGTGGGGGAGGTGGGGGAGCCCCGTATGCACCAGGCTAGTCATAAAGTCAGTATTAAGCATCTCCGAATGATGGAATGGGCAAAACTTACAGGAGCACCATATGCCCCAGATCCATAGCTCATCCCAGGAGCTGCACCGGGGGCACCAGAAGCCCACGGAGGAGCTGCAGAGGTCGAAGGAGGAGGGGGGATGCCGCCATGCTGAGATGCAGCCCATGGCGCAGCCCCGCCTGAGGGTCCAGTTGGAGGTCCATGGCCGCCTTGTTGCCAAGGCGGAAGGCTGCTGGGCCCTGAAGGTGCGTTGGGCGGAGGCGCGTGTCCTTCGGGACCACCATGTCCACCACGACCGCCACCGCCGCCACCACCCCCACGGCCCATCTGCCATGGTGCAGGACCACCAGTAGGACCTCGTTGCCAAGGCTTGAGAGCGCGGCCATCTGGACCCAGCTCTTCCGGCTGGTTTTGGCCTCCATATCCTCCTTGGCCGCTATAACTGTCGCGGCCGCCGTAGCCACCATCGGAGCCGCTTGGGCCAGCTTCGATGCGGCCTTGTTGAGCGGAACCTCCGATTGCAGCAGGAGGTGCTCCACCCGAGAGTTCTTGCATAAGTTGCTACAGGATATTAGTTTCAAGCATGGTATAAAACGGGAACCATACTACTCACCTCGTACTCTCTGTCGACGGCGTCTCCTTGTCCCAAGCCTGCAGCTCCAGGCCTTCCTGCTTGGCCTGGGGCACCAGGTCTGCGGTCGTCGTTGCGCCAATTTGCGCCTCTCTGGCGGTCGGGGCAATCCCTGGCCATATGCCCAGCATTCCCGCAAACTCTACAGATAATATTTGCAGTGAAATTCCTTTGTTCAGGGCAGTCGTATTTACGATGACCGATTTGACCACCTGCATAGATTTGATTAGCCTTGGCACGGGGAGGCCAGATCGTACGTCACGGGTCAACTTACAGTTTTGACAGGCTTGGTTCTCGTCGTCTCGCAAAGTTCCGTTGAGTGCTGCAAGCTCTCTAAGTTGGTTACGCTTGAGCTCGTTTTGTCCCTCGGGAATCGATGCAGCCTACCAAAGTCAGCTCGCCAATCCGAGTAAAAGCATGATACCAGGATTCAAGCATACCGTTTCAATAATAGTATTAATCAACTTCTTGGCTTTGTTAACCTTATCTTCAGTATCGGCCATAATCAGACAATGAAGATCTTCTTCTTGGTTAGAGGTGTGAGCAGCGTCGGAGCGGCCCTTTCCTTCCTTGACGGATCCCTTCCCACGGATGGCGATTTTGGCGCCGGATTCAGTTTCCATTTTCTTCAGGGTGTTGCCACGAGGCCCAATTAGGAGACCAACTATTAGTATCACAAGGAAAAGTTCCTAGAGGTTAGCTATTTGATTCCCTGTAAAAAAAAGTGTTATGTGTGTGTGAAGGCTGTGATAGTTGTAAGGCAAAGCAATGAAGCCGTCGATGGGAACTTTAGGGTTAAAGACACCACCGGGGCGTTTCATTCTTTTTTCTTTTTTCTTTTTTTTTTTTTATAAAAATTGGGTTGATAGTAATATGGTAATAGCAAAATTGTTAGGAGGGGAGTTAGTATACTAAAGTTAATTTCTGGATAATCATTAACCGGCACATAAATCTTCTCTTGAGTCTTTGTGGGTCTTCTGTAGTCACTTGGTGGGTGATAGTTTGGGATGGCTTTCATGGCCTTATCGACCAACTTGTGACGCTCGTCCTCCAACCGTTTGCGGTACCGGTATTCCCTTGTGTTGACACGACGACCAAAGTTATCGTACTGCGGCGGCGGCGAAGGCGACCTACACTGCAGGTTAGTGCCCGAAGCACACACGCACACACACACCCACACAAACAGAACTCGCGAGATGGGGGGGGGGGGGGGGGGATAAAAAGTTTCATACCGGTCACCGTCTGCGGGGACAACATCGTTGATCCGAAGCTTCTGAGAGATTTCCTCAATACGCAGGTGCAACGCATAAGCCTCAAGCTGCTCATTAGTCATGGTAGCAAAGATCGCAGTGGGCAATCCCATCAATCCAGCAGCCTTGTTATCAGTCTGGTCACCCCATCTGTTCTTCTTCTTCCGCTTCTTTGGGCCATCGGGGTCGGCTGCATCGATAAATGGTATCAAGTTAATATCTACACTCATTGAAGAATACAATACTCAAAGGACACAGCCAAAAACCAACCTCTAACAGGCGACCTCCCACGCTTGAGATCTACCAATCCGTGCCCAGGGTCCCGTGGGGAGTACTCTCTCTCCCTCTCGCGCTCCCGCTCGCGGGGTTCCTGCTGGGCCGGAGCTGGAGCTGGAGACTCGCTGCCACTGTCACCGCCAAAGCGACGGCGGTTCCCAAGGGGGATGTTGTTAGTTCCGGTGATGCCACCACCGCCTCCGCGATAAGACATAGCTAAAGAGGTGAGAAGGGGGGGTTATTTGGGTGTTGAGCGAGATGTCCTTTTGGCCGGTGTTGTGTGTAGAACCGAGGCTGTGGGGGGGGGGGGGGGGGATGTTGAAAAAACGCGTTCGCGAGAGCGGAGAAGGGAGAGGATGGTTGGTGATGGATGGATGGATGGATGGCACTGGTGGCAATGCTTATGTGAGCAGGGTCCCTATTCAGTGCTAGCTGTTTTGTGGGAGCACAATGCACGTGGGTGTTTCACGAGTTGTTGCAACGTATGAGTGTTTTTGTTAATCTCTTGGACAGGTTTGACATCATTGGAGCAATATATAGGTGGGGTATTTGTGCTTTTCGGTTTTCTATCAGCTGGTGCTCTGTGTGTGTGGTAATATCGACCAATTCGATATTTCGCGTTGGCACAACATTCTATCACTCGAAACAAAACTCTCATACTAAGGGTCAATGATCATTTATCCTGAATCCTGAATACTCAGCAAATGTATAGAAAACCTGTTACTTTCAACTACAATAAAAAGCTCACTAGTAGAGTTGAATAGATACCGCCTAAGTGGGGGTCTTTATACTATCCCGGCATTCTATCTGGTCAATCGGGCCAAACCAGACATTCTCGGATATCCATCACGTTATGTGCCAAACTTAAAATCTCAGATTTAGAATTCCCAATGTCATCCTTCCCAAGAAAACCTCCCACCTAGCTACCGATCCCCGTGACGTAAAAGAAATTATGACTTGAGAAGTGAACAGGTGTTCTCAAGGAAGATATAATTTATTATAGTATTATAGGATTCCTTAGCGAATATAGACCCCCACTCTAGCTCTTCGAGGATTCTAAAGTACATTCTTGGCGGATGATCGACTCCCTCCTCCTCCAATATCATCAGTAAGTCCGAAACTTTGTGAAGCATCGGATTTAGTCTGGTTATAAAGAAGTGACAATCTACAACTACAAACACAAGCATGGATCGCGTCCGATGCAACTGTACATCACAGTAACTATCACTCACACCAAATCACTCGGTCACCAATGCTCAGCCACTTCATTCATACTCGGTCACTCGTGCCCAACCACTCTGCTCAATCACTCGGTTTTCGCATCATGAGTGCTCACCCGTCACAATTAATCCATTGCTACCAACTAGCCTAATCCGGTATTCCTTACTGCTAAATATTGCAGCTGCTAATCATGTTACTGGGAGATCTAGTAGGATTAGAAGCAATTGAAGATTCGCATTGCATTAGGTACATAAATACACTCTAGTATAAGTATTGATATCGTAACCCCAGCCCAAACTTTTATCGGCAATAGCAGCAAAAAAAGCGCAAAGAAAGAAAGAAAAAAAAGGAACAGAGAAAAAAAAAAGTATAAAGAAGAGAGCAAAGAAAAAGACAGCGAAGAAACACTGGAAATTATCGTTATATCCCCCCATCTAGCTAAACTCAAAAAAGTCATCCTCCTCCACCACCTCCTTCTCCTCCTCGTCCTCAACCTCTCTTTTCCTCTTCCCGCCCACCTTCTCCTTCTTCCCCCCCACCGCCCCACCCTCCATCTCCTCGTCCACCCCCTCCTCCCGACTCCCCAGCGTCCCTATCTCCATCTGCCTCTCAATCCCCCTCTTAATCACCTCCCTCTTCTCCACAACCTTCGGGTCCCCCGCCGGGTCCCGAAACAACGAGATATACTTCTCCCCCCTCGGATAATACACCGTATAGTTCACCTCCACCTCCGCCTCATGTATCGCCTTCTCCAGCGCCTCATCACTCTCCGCTGAGTCCCGCCGGCGCCGCACCAGTTGTGCCAGCTTCCGCGAGGCCTTTTTGCGCTCTACACCCCCCACGTCAGTACCCCTCCCTCAAACACCCCCCACAACCACAAGGGCAATACGTACCGAAAAAGCGCACCATCCGATACTTCTCCACCATTCTCCCCTCGCGCGCAGAGTCCTGCGCGGCCGCGAGCTCGTGCTTGAAGGCGTCGAGCGCGCGCTCGCTGTCGAGGCGCACGTCGGCCGGGAGGGTGGTCTTCTTGGCGAGGAAGCGGGTCAGGTCGCGGATCTTCTTCTTGAGCGTGGAGGTGGAGGTGCTGGCCGTGGTGGGGGTGGTGAGCTTCGTGGTGTGGCCATGGGTGCCGGGCTTGCGGCGCTTGTGCGGGTTTGTGAGGCGGGCGCGGGAGGGGTGGGTGGTGGGGGGGGGCATTGTGGACTGTGGGTTGTGGGTTGTGTATTGTAGGTGTGTGTGGGTGTATTGGGGGTTTGTGTTGTGTGGTTTGGTGTTGAATGGTTTTGGTGTTTTGGTGTTTTGGTGGTGGGTTTGGTTTGGGTTTTGGCAGGAGAGAGAGCAGAGGATGGAGATTTAATTTAATTTTCGAGGTGGGATGGGTTAGGGCTGGGCGTCCTTATCAGCGTGGCTTGGCGGCAAGACGTCAATCATCGATTGATAAACATATTGCAGCTGCGGGCGGTCGTGTGCCAGCCAACGACGACGACGACGACGACGACGACGACGACGCACTTGGTGCTTTTACTCTCACCCACCCACTGGCTCTAACTCGCTACGGGCTGCTTCACACCACTCGCCCATTCTCACATCCACGCACTCTCTCTCACCCGTCTTCACTCGTCATCGCTGCCCTGCACACAGTACCTTATATACCTGCATACATATTCTATACATCTGGCCACTCACACTCCCCTCGCTCCCCTCGCTCCCCGCAATCCCTCCCTCCCCTCCCTCCCCTCGCCTCCCCTCCCCTCCCACTGCCCTGCATCTCACACTCATCTCCTCTCATCTCATCTCACTCCGCACTCCACTCCACTCCACTCCACTCCACTCCATACATCCACACATCCAACCATCCAACCATCCAACCATCCAACCATCCCATCCAGCCAGTCCCAATGGCCATGGTGAATTGATTTCCCCGTCTCCCTCCATTCTGAATTAGCTAAACCATTAATACCCACCTTATACACCCCCCCACACACACCCAGTAGCACATATACATAGTAGACCCCCCGGCCCGCAACCAAACCATGAACAGCTCCGTCAGCATCCGCTGGTCGCCGCACTCGACGCCCGACAACCAGCGCTTCCTGAAGATCAACTCCACGCAGCAGGAGCTGTGCCTGTATGATCTCGCCCACGAGGTTTGCCTCCTGCTGGCTTATGCTTATGTTCTGTAGTGGTGGCGGTGGGGTGGGCGCTGACTGCGGGGTTGTGTATATTATAGAAGGGCAAGGGGACGCAGTGCAGGCTGGTGTCGAAGCACTCGAAGGTGCCGTATATTCGTGTACGTACATACTACTGCTGTTACTGCTACTGTGGTGCAATTGATGCATATATTGTCTTGGATCTAATTCTCCGTTCTGCGATCTATGTAGTGTTTCGACTGGTCGCCCACGCAGGAAGGTATATATCTACATCTACATCTACATCTATCTACACACGCACTATCTCTCCCCCGCCCCTCCCTCCCTCTCTCCACAACTGATTCTGACCTTTACAGACCTCGTCTCCGTCGGCCAATCCTCCGGCGAAACCCTCCTCTACCGCCTCTCCACGCGCGCCTCCATCCCCCTCCGCGTCAAGCACCAGCGCTCCTGCAACAGCGTCTCCTTCAACAGCAGCGGCGCGCTGCTCGCCACCGCGCTCGACAAGGTGCGCAACGACTTCTGCCTCAACATCTGGGACATCGCGGCCTCGCACCTCTCCGCCGGCCAGGGCGGCATCGCGCGCCCCTCCTGGCAGCTCGCCAGCAGCGAGGCAATCCCCAGCGTCCGCTTCCTGCGGAAGGACCCGGACGTCCTCATCTGCGGCGTCAGCTACCGCTGGATCCGCTGCTACGACATCAGAAGTGCCCCTCCCCCTCCCCCTCCCCCTCCCCCTCCCCCGCCCTCTCCCCTCCCCACCCCCCCGAGCGCCTTCCCCCCGCTAACACATAAGACGAGCAGAATCCCCCGTGACAACAGTGTTCGCGGTGCCGCACCGCTGCGCCCACGGCCTTTCTCTCGACCTCGACTCAAACTACTTCGCCTCGCACAGCGACGACGGCGTCATCGCCGTGTGGGACAGACGGCACATCGGCTACGGCGGCCCCGCCAACGAGCCACGCCCCGCCCTCCTGTTCAACCGCGCCGAGGAGTACGGGCGGCAGCCCAGCCCCATCGCGTCGCTGCGCTACAGCAACACCAAGCCGGGGACCTTCGCGGTGCTGAACACCAGCGGCGGCCTACGGATCTACGACACGGGCAAGATCGCCGACGGCGACCCGCCGCTGGGCGCGGGGCTGTTTGGGCCCGGTGTCATTGCCGGGGTGCAGCCGAGCGGGCGCAAGGGGTGGAGGGATAGCGCGGCGAGTCTGTTGGATGGGGCGCGCATGAATGCCGGTGGTGGTGGGACGGCTTCGGGCGCGCGGACGCCGAATGTCAGGGTTGAGCCCGGGGAGACGCTATTCGTAACCCGTATAAAGGACATCCAGACGACGCCCGTGCGGACGGCGAAGAACGACCGCCGCATTGTGTCCTTCGACTGGATGAGCGACTGCGGGTCCGAGGACATCCGCACCATCTGCCTGCGCAACGATGGCACACCCGTGGTTATGTCCTGTTCTGGGAGTGCGACGAGTCTGGCTTTTGGGTCCCGTAATGGCCTGCTGATCACGCATGGGAAGGACCTGAAGGTGCTCCCCAGCCCGAGCACGGCGCTGACCCAGCCGCAGGAGGCAGACGCCGAGGAGGCGAGTGTCGACTCGCCGGTCGGGTCACCACCGGGCACGGGCATGCGCCTGGGCATGCATGAGGGCCGCCGCCTGGGGCGGTCCAACTCGATCGCGCGACCCGAGGACTTCCTCTACGACGCGGCCGAGATGCTGAAGAACGACATCTGCGTGATCATGCGGCGGCGCGTGGAAGCCGGCTACGAGATGGACTGCGCAAAGAACATAACTCTCGTCCCCGAGGAGCCCGAGCTGCAAGAGATGTGGCAGTGGCTTCAGGGGGCCACCGAGGCCGCTGCCGGCGGTGGAATGGTCGCTGGCATCCTGGACCTCAGCTACATGGGTGTTCTCGGCATCTGGAACAACGGCACGGGGCTGGGGCCGTCGGCGATCAGTAACATGGCGACACGGAACCTGTCGTCCCCGCCGCGCACACCCACGCAGGCCGACTGGACGGCGGCTATCGCCGAGATCAACCGCCGCGCCAAGCGCTCGCCGTTCACGGGGCGCACCAAGTTCCCTGAGCAGCGGCGGCTGGCGCTGGCGATTGCCGGCTGGGACTTTGCGCCGTCGGAGCTGGAGGCACACCTCTCGCGGCTGGAGGCCGCAGGCGAGGTGGCCAAGGCGGCCGGGTGGGCTCTGTTCCACGGCGAGACGGAGCGCTGCATTGCCACGCTGGGGCGCGGCGGGCAGCAGATGAAGATCATGTCGACGGCGGTGGCGGGGTACTATTCGCATGCGACGCTGGCGCAGCCGACGGCGGCGGCGACGGCCGAGAGCGTCAAGAACGCGGGGATCTGGAAGGAGCTGTGTCGCGCGATGAGCGTGGAGCTCGATGAGCCGTATCTGCGGGCGGTGTTTGCGTATGTGGCGAATGGCGAGTGGCGGGATGTGTTGGATGATGTGGGGCTGCCGATACGGGAGCGGCTGGGGATTGCGCTGCGGTGGCTGGAGGATGGGGAGTTGACGGGGTATTTGGGCGGGTTGGTGGATACGGTGGTGGGCGATGGGGATGTGGATGGGCTTGTGCTCACGGGTGTCGGGGGTAGGGTGGGGGAGTTGTTGCAGGTGTATGTTAACCGCAAGGGCGATGTGCAGACGGCGAGTCTGGTGGCGGGGCTGGCGGTGCCGAGGTATGATGAGGATGAGCGCGTGGGGTACTGGGTCGAGAGGTATGTGCTTTCTGGGGGCGGTGGTCATTGACGAGGGTGTGTGCGGTGATCATTGACACTAACTGTGTCTATGTGTGTAGTTACCGGCAGCTGCTCAATAGCTGGCGCCTCTTCCACGCACGCGCGAAATTCGACGTGGCGCGCGGGAAGCACTCGCGGAATCGGGCTGGCGTAATGACGGTGCCGGAGGTGCAGAGGCAGGTGTATGTAAGGTGTACATACTGCGACCGGGTACGCTCCCCCTTCCCCCCCCCTTCCCCCTCTTCTCTCCCCCACCACTAACACCCCCCGCCCCACCAGAACATATCCTACGGCGCGCCCACGCCCACCGCCAAGCCCGCGGGCACATCAAAGCCCCACATGAACCCGCGCGAAATAACACAAGCGCCGACCTCCCTCGCGGGCGTCAACGCAGCAACCAAAGCGACGGTGTGTCCGCAGTGCAAGAAGAGCCTGCCGCGGTGCGCGGTGTGCCTGCTGAACCTGGGGACAAAGTACTACAAGAAGAGCGCCGAGGGCGGCGTCGTGCGCGGCGCCGAGGACGGCAAGAGTGTTGATCCGGCGGGCGAGTTTGATCGCTGGTTTAATTTTTGCCTGTCGTGTAATCATGGCATGCATTCGGGGCATGCGAGGGAGTGGTTTGCGAGGCATGGGTTGTGTCCGGTGCCGGAGTGTGATTGTCGGTGTAAGATGTGAGGGGAGGGGGGGGACTGGTGGGGGTGGGGGTTGGTAGGGAGGGGGGGGGGGGGGGTGGTTGTAGGACTTGGGTTTTTGTGGGGCCTTTTAGTTTTGTTGTTATAGGCGTTTTTTTTTTGTATCTCTCTCTGTGTATGTGAAGGTTAATGGAGAGGGGGGGATATCGGGTTTATTATATTACTTGTTCTTTTTATTTTATTTTTTTATTTTATTTTTTTTTTTTTTTTTTTTTTACTGTTCGCTGGCTTATATGGCATGGGAGTCTGTTGTGCTGGGTTTTTGCGAATTTCTGGCGCTGAGCAGCTCGAAGTTCGAAAAGAAAAGAAAAGAGATGAGTGGTAGAATCTAATCCTTTACCCCATAACAACCCAGCTCGCTCGCTTGCCTCCTCGTGCGGGGTGCTGATATCTATACATGTGTCTACCAGGAACACCGTGATTGCGTGCGTTGGCGCGCAAATGATGATGTGAGATGGAATGTGAGTGATAACGCATGACGCACGGCGATCACACCACGTGACTCACTGGGCCCAGACTACCCTACATAACCACGTTCAAATTGGCAGCAACGGTAGGTAAGGGGGCGGACAGGGTTCTAGGGTGGGGTAGATATAAGATGGGCTTTTTCCTTTTCCTTTCCCTTTCCCGCGTCGTTGGTTGTGGGTGTTCATGTTGGGTTGAGTGATCATTGACCCCCCATGGTATTTTAGCATACCGTTAATTCTTGAGAAATCCACTATCTCCGCTTCGCTAAATCTTAATTCCGGGTGAGAAAAAGTACATACATGTATGTATCTGCACGAATCCGTGAAGTTTGATACGCCAATTCGCCTTGGTTCGGACTTACCACATATAAATACGGAGATAGTGGATTATTCGAGAATTAACGGTATATGGGTTGGTTGCTTGCTAACGTCACAGGGCCCCAAATGATCATTGACACTTGCTTTTGATTTTTAGTTTGCAAGATAGAGCCGAACGAGACCGTCATCAATTCGTTAAAAATCTACACACTACCATTGGCACCGATGGCATCACCAACGATCTACGCAATTGCTAACTAGCTACGCTACAAACCCCCCAATCCCATCCCATCCCAACCCCCCAAAACCCCCTCCGCAATGCAGCCAAATGTAAAGCCATGGTATACGTATCCCACACTCCCCTCCCACTCACCCCCCCAACCCAACCCACCACCGATCACCGCGGCGTCGGCCTCAACTGACAATCCGGACACCCCACCAACAACTCCTGACTACAATCCGGAAAAAAGTACACCCCATCCGGCCCATGCTCCCTCAGCCCCCTCTCGCCCAGCGCCTTCTTCGCCGCATCAAACCACACCTCGCCGACCCTGGGCGCCCACACCCTCCTCGAGCCGCCATACGTGCTCCCCCTCCTCCCGCCGGCCGCGCGGCCCACCAGCTTCGCCTCCATCTCCACGCGCTCGTCCTGCATGTCGCTCATGAACTGCTTCCTCAGCCGGCCGCTCGCGCTCGGCACGTCGGCCGCAAAGAACTCGACGCAGCGCTGCAGCGGCATCGTGCACCGCAGGATCAGCGCTACTTGCTCGTCGTTCTGGTTGTGCGGCGGCTCGGGGGAGAGCGACAGGCGGAGCAGGTTGACGAGGAAGTGCATGGCGTGGTGCGTGCTGATTAGGGTGCTGTTGTCGAAGGTGCCGATGATGCTGGATTGGATGGTGGTGTAGGTGTTGGTTAGGTCCAGTGGGGAGGGGGGGGTGTGGTAGTCGTCGCTGTTCTCGGCGGCGGTGACGGCTTGGGAGGCTTCCAGGCGGAGGCGGGAGTAGGTTAGGAAGTGGAGGACCTGGGGGTTGTTAGCTATTTGCAATGCCCGAGAAGGGGGGGACGGGGGGCCGGTGGTGGGTAGTATATGGCGGCTTACATAGTACCTATCACCACAAACACATTAGTCAACAACTACCCAAAAAAACGAGTCAAAACAATCATTGCCGCACTCACAACTGCTTCGTCAACCTCCTCTGCACCGCTCTAATCGCCAACTCCTTCTTCCCCTCCGCCTCCCTCCTCGCCCTCCTATCCAACGAGAACTCGCCCGCGCCCCCGCCCCGCCCCCCACAAAACATCGGGGTCAGCGCCTTATCACACAGATAATACGCCAGCTGCGAGCACGTGACATGGCGCCTCTCCAGCCCATAAAAGTACTGGACCGTCGCGCGCCGCGTGCCGTCGCCCGTGCGCGACCGCGGCGGATAGAAGAGCTGCGAGAGCAGCGTGAGGTAGGACCCCGGCAGCAGCCACTGCGTGACGATGATGTGCTCGTGCGTGTCGACGAGGTCGCGGAAGGCGCGCGAGACGCGGCGGAGCGTGGTCACGTCGCGCCAGGTTGTGCGGCTGATGATGGCGATGAGCAGCTCCGTGGGGAGCAGGTCGAAGTATGTGTGCGTGAGGGTGGAGGTGGAGGTGCCGCCGGGGCTGGTGGGGCCGCTGCCGCTGACGCTGTGCGCGGACGGGTACTGTAAGTTTATGTGGTTTTGGCTTTGACTTTGGTTGGGGCGGGAGTGGTGGTGGTGGGCGCTGCTGGAGGGGGTGTGTGAGACATATGAAATGGTGGGGTTCGGCGTTTTGAGGGATACATGTGTGTGTGTGTGTACAAGTCTGTACAGATGTGGGGGCGGGTATCTGGGGAAATGAAGTGGGGGTGATCATGAGAGGGAGGGACTACATAGATCTCCAGCCAGGTAGGTACATAGGTAGGTGGGGTATCCCTTTTGTACACCAACAAGAGAGACAAGATCCATTGGGCAGCTTTCGAATCCTTATCTCGCAGATCCCCCTCCCTCATATCACACACCACACACACAGACACAGAGGCAGAAAACAACGACAATACATCTAGACACAAGAAGTACAGCTAGTCCACATACCTCGGAGGTTTCGTCTTCTGGAGGAACTGCAGGCGCGCCCTCTCGACCGCCCGCAGCACCCCCCGGGCTTTGCCCTCGAAGCCATCGCCGCGGCGGCTCTCGGTCGGCGAGCCAAACATCGGTGTGCTGGGCGTGGATGGATAGATAGATGGGCAGGGTATGTAGTAGTAGGTAGGTATGTAGGTAGTAGTAAGGTAGGTAGTAGTAAGGTAGGCAGTAGTGAGTAGTAAGGGAGGCTCAGGTTCGGGTGAAGGGCAACAATTGGGCGGGCAACGGCAATGTATGTACGGTCTCAGGCCTCGCGGTCTACAAGTAAAGAAAGGGGGTTTATCGGCTTCGGGATCAAGGTCCGGCAGAAATGGGGGGGTGGAGGGGGGGAGGTGTATGAGTGAGTGTGTGAGAGTGAGTGCGTGAGGGAGTGGGAGTACGTGTGTGGTGTGGGCTGCTGGGCTGACATAATTATTTGTTGCCCTTCCCCCTTCCCTTCCCTTCCCTTCCCTTCTGCTTTTTGGTGGGAGGCGAGAGAGGGAAAAAAGCCCAGGTGCAGCAAGCAGCAAGACAGACATATGCAGAAGTTGGAAGAGCTCTCCACTCGCCCACTCACACCAACCACAGCCATGCGGGAATCTATCTTTGGCGACAAATGACGGGCGTTGCCCCCGCTGCCGCCAAGCTGGGATCTGTGTGTATGCCAAGAGCTTACATGATGAGGTTGTGGGACAACAGCTCCTAGAGAGGTTACATAATGTACTGAGGTAGGCAGGGGAAGTGGTGGTGTTATGGAGATATACTTGCTGGGGATGGAGATTTACGAGTGGGGTTGTGCGTTTACAAGATAACATGCAGTGGTGTTTGTTTGTTGATAGTGAGATGTTCACTCATGAGTACGAGTACCAGCTCAAGGTGGGGCAAACAAAGACACGACAGCCCGAGGAGGATAATGGACTCCCCCTCGACACGGGGCCAAAGCTCCATGATACCTCTCCCCTCATGCCCAGCCTCCCACGGTGCTCAGATACCAATCCTCAAAGTGTCGCTCTTCACGCACAAGCTTAAGTGAAACCCCCTAGCTTGCCCAAAGCTGTCTCGCCAAGCTGCCAAACCAGCTACCCGGGTACATCACCATCGAGTCCCGTCCGTGCTGAGTCAGACATGTCAATGATAGTTATCCCACCTCGCATTCGCATAAAGAATCAACGTAGAGTACAATACCCAAAAGTAGAGGAGCGAAGACACCCGGACTATATATACCCACCACCTACTATACACCCTTCCACATGCCGCGACTCCCGGTCGACACCTTCCTAGTCTAGCCGGGGGATCCGGCCGTTTAGTTAATTAATGCACATCCATCTCTCCCGGTTTTGTGTAGATCTGCACTGTCTATCAAGTAAGCTCGATCTAAAAGCACAATTGATAGCAAGGGAGAGGGAAAGAGCTTAATATAGATATCGACCTCAACATTGTGTGTTTTGTAGGTTTTGGGAGCATCTTTGCGGATGCTTCTCATGTCATGGGGTGCTTTTTTGCACCTTTTGCACCTAGTACAATACGTATGATGCAGGGGGGTCAGGTGAATACTCTATAGCCTTATCCAAAGAGTATACTATCATTGATCTACTCGAGTGAAGCAGCCGACGATAGTATGGTCAAGGTGACGCAAACAGCATCTCACCACGTACGGATGAAGAGGATGTTGGGTTTACCTATTTCTATTTTTACCAATTGAAGCGGAATAACATCTGAGCCGATACCCGGATATCACCACCTTCCCGTGGCCTCGTATTTCTGCAGAGCTACAAACCGCTCGAGTGATTGATTAGAGTATGGTGCTCCAGCTAGCTGCTGTTTGGCCTCGGAGCTCTATTATATGAGCTGTTCGATCACATAGTCTCAATTGCTCAAGGTTCAATCGATGGGATTTAAACTTGTTCCGGGGTACCCAAGGTACAGCATCCATGCAGTACCAGGGTACTTGATCTGATCTAAAAGAAGGCCTCCAATACAATATTCCGCTGATTGCTACGGTCTTGAAGAAGGCCTCCAATACAATATTCCGCTGATTGCTACGGTCTTGACTGTAATATGTTCATGGATAAGTACTCATATTATCAATTGCCACATTTCATCATAGATATCACCTGCATAGTTGCATCGTACAATACAACACCAGCCCCAGCAAATTCAAATTAATAGGAAATCAACCCTTCATGTACCTTCGGGAGAATGTCAAAGAAAGATTAAATAAACCGTAGGCCATGCGAAATAACGGTTCTAACGTCATGGACTGGCATGGTGTACAGAACATAGGTAACTATCTTCCCGTCCGGCCCGCTTGAAGCTGAGACCTAACGTTGGTTTAGCCAAGTCAGAAACAAAACTTTTAGGACCCCCATTGGACAATAAAACCTGGTTTTTATGATAGCGGTCGGTGCTAGCTGCACTGCATGCATGTGCCCGATATTGGAATTGTGTAAACAGGTGATCCCGCAAGGTGTCGTGGGTCTATTCAATTATCTTACTACTTTGAGATTGACCAAGAACACTCATGATCCTATGCGGGAGCTATTTTTCGATTGATCTTGGTCCGCCTCGAGGCTTCCGTTCTCGTATTCCAATCGGTAAAAAATCCGGTTTATTTCCATGAAGAATTGCTGGGGCGGATTGTTATAAAACCCACGTTCATGCTCTGTTGGTTCACTCACTCTCTTCATCAGCAAGCTTCTCACACTCGCTATACAACACCAATTACTCTAAAAGCAATTAGCCATCATGTTGTACACCCTCTCCACTATCCTCCTGCTCACTGCCTCCGTTTTCTCAGCTCCCGTCGCTGAGAAACGTCAAGCTGCAACAGTCCTCAGAACCATCACGCCCAACTATCTTGTACCCCTCTCACAATCCGAGCCTACCCGCGTATTCGGTTCTCAATATACTGGTGAAGTTTCCTGGACTCCTAATGCAGCGACCGAAATCACCACAATTGTTGGTTTCGACATCCCCACCGTCGCTGGTGCCAATTCCTGCTATCTTCGTTTTGCCCTTCCAACAACGGCATCTGGCTTTGCATGGAGCGTTGAAGGCGCAGGTATCATGAATTATTATAGCCTGGATCGGGTTGTCAACCCTGCCACAGATTCGTGGAACACCAGGCCTGGAAGAGTTGCACAGCTAGGGACTGTTACTGTGAGTTAACTTCCTATACACTAGTTTCTGCAGATTGGGGGCTAATGATGCGCAGGTTCCTAAAGCAGGTGGCGAGGCGACGTTCGCGGGAGTAGCGTTAGATTGCCAGGCACTATTTAATGCGCAGAGAGTCGATTGGGAGTTTACGGCTGCGCATGTCGGAGATGTAAAGAATCGGGTGGAGACATTCCGTATGAGCACCATTCTTTCTTTACCCTCGATTCTGTTTTTGACTAAGATGAGCTGCTAATTGAGACGATGTGCATTTACAGAGACTGCGAGTGGCCAAGGATGGTATTTGGAGTTTGCAAGGGTTTAAATGGACTTTTGTTATGTCTAACAGACTATAATTGGTATCGAGGCAGTAATGACACGTTTGTGAGGAGGATACGACGTCGTAATTCACAGGGATCTAACGGTAGTATTAGCACTTAAGACCGCGCATATATGTACTAGTAGCTAGTACCACAATCCCTTAAAAATTTACTTAATATATATCCGCTCAATAAGCAAGGCAGGGTACTGTAGCAAAACCAACCTATTTAGAGTGTTTCTGGCTGCACTCAAGTAATATAAAATAATTAAGTTGTACTATTGAGGATTCCGCAGGATTTTAATCTTTGACTCTGGAATACAACTGATGATCGAAACAAGAGGAGCTAGGTTCTCAGTATGACCTGTATATCTTGACTGGCTTGAGTTTTTCTGTATGTAGCTCGGCCTGTTGAATATATGTGTCCAAAAAGAACCGTAGAAGGGACCAAAGACTGGCCGATCATGAGCTAGGCATTTAACTTGATGATGGTCACGATGAATCATGTATATTATCTTGATAGAAACAATTTTGGAGAAGCTTGAAGGTTGATGGCGAAACTTCGAAGGGTCTAAGGCTCAACCACGCACGACGTTGATGACGTTGCTGGAAGTCAATTGTAGCAAGCTAGCTAGGGTGCTCTCGTAATCCCTAACCCCAGCAACACCTTGAATCCAACTCACTTCTATGTGTTAAAGTGCACCTGTGTAGGTACATGTTATCATTTCTCTTTCTTAACATGTCTTTGATCGATTTCTTGATGGCTGGCTTTACTATCCCGACAAGCTTCACCTATCTTCATGCATATCCTTTCAAGTATATATATACGCTCATCAACTTGCCGCGCCACTTCACAAATATAACCTTCAGTTCAACTACATGAACCCTATAAGTTCATATATTTCATTTCATTTTCGCCTTACTATTCTTTCGTATTATTACTGTCAACCTATATTGCCTTGCTGGGTTTAGATTTCAACCGGTTGTGATTCTAAGACCCTTTTGTCTTACAGGTGTACGATCGAAATCTTTATTCTGGAAACATCTTGCGCGATCACATTAATGGCCATGGCGCTTCAATAAATTCGGTATAAAAACGTTTTATTATAAATCGAGGCACGCTCTCATCTCTGAAGAATCTACATTCATCGCGGCTTTCAACGGCGTGAATATAACAACCAGCAACTATAAGTCAGGCCACTGCTACAGAAGAATAGGGGAAATTACCCATACGTAGCATAAGGTTATACACCGTACTACACCGTACCCCAAGCGTTGCACAGATCTACTATAAACAACGCATTAATATCAAGTCCCATATGACTACTTGGGTCTCTGCTGCCGTGCCCAGCGTTACCATAGGGTATAAATATTAAGCCGGCCAGGCCGATCGAGGCCGACATATATCCACTGTAACGTTTCAGACGCTGGTTTAAGTCTAACAAATCGTCTGACTCCGACCCAACACAGAAAGTGGAGACCGGATATCCACACCCCCCTAGAGCTTCGGCCTTGAAGTAATATACATTATTCTTGCCGGATGCAGATATACATGCTCCCGAGTGATATCCTGTGAGTGGGTCAAGGCAAGTTTGAGGTCATGAACCACCATATACCAATCTGGTGTACAATGCACTGGCCCAGAATAATTCATGCGTTTCCAAGCTTTTAATTCAGCGCGTGATGTGATAATGGATCGGGCTGACTGATGTGTCCAGCTGCAGGTTCACGATTGAAAACTCATAGACATCGAGGTTATCTCAGTAAAAGATATATCGTGCTAATGTAACCGGAAAAAACTATATAAAGAGCCATTCATGTAATATCTCTCCTTTTTTCACCACGACTCAGGTCTTCCTTCTATCTCTACCTCTACAGCTGCATCTACATATATCATATCTACCCATCTACAAAATCCACCAAGATGCATTTGTTCCATGTCCTCCTTGCCTGTGCCATCACTATCACTGTCTCTGCTACCCCTGTTCCGGATGATGGCGGTCCCAACTACCTCCCCCCCAAGATCATTTTTCCCAACTACATCGTTCCTATCAATCAGTCCAATCCCACTTATGCCGGCGGGACAAAGTACGAGGGCCAGATGAAATACACTGGCAAACCCGATCAGATGCGGACTCTGAGTAAGAAACCCGAATTTCCTAAATATTTAATTGAGAATAGACTCTAACAGAGATTATTGGATAAGTTGGATGGGACATCCCCGCCGATGGCCCTAAAAATTGCATAATCAAGTTTGAATTATCTACCGAACCTGGCCAGGCGCAGAACACTTGGATGGCTTCTGGAGGTGGTAAAATGAATGCTTATATTCTTTCGAACAACCCACGTATCGATTACAGAACAATTAGCTGGGATAACAGGCCTCTCAGGTCTCCTCTAGCAGCGCAATGGTCGATCACAGTAAGTTACAACGCCCTTATTTAACTATGTTGAAGATGGTGGTTAACTTTGCGCTCAAGCAACCTATCTCTGGCGGAAAGGCGGCTATTACTGGTACGAAGATACCATGTCGAAGAGGGGATGTATTTTTCATTGAACTTGCATCCGACGAACAATCGTATTTATACCTCAAGTGGTTTGGTAAGTCCTCATTCTCTTACATCTCACCCTATTGATACAATTCTAATAATTGTGAGGTTTCTTTTAGAACTAACTTCACCTCTTAATGGTATTACACTTGAGATGAGCAACTCCCCGTAAGTAGAACTACGATAGCTCACTCGACGCTTCATCGGTGGTGCTTTGAGTTCTCTCTGGTCATGGTCATGACACGTCACTAGTATGAAGTATGGTCGTTTACATTGTTGTTTTCTGACGTGACCCTGTGCACGGGGTTGGGGTTTTGTTATGGTTATTATGAGTTTTGAGCAATAAAAAATGGGAGTGATATCCCGTGATTGACGATGAAATTTCTTGAACCAGTTGTAAAACAGTCTCTGTTTCAAAGAGGATTCTAAGCTGAAAACTTTCACCCCGCCTTTCGAACCAGAATGATGCGTCCAGAATTCGAACTAAAACCTTATAATAAGAATCTAGTTTTCAGCTCCAATCAGACGGTCCAACCGAGTCAGCCCGTCAGATTGGCAGGTACGCACGGAGGCCATTAATTTATGCCGGTGTTAACGTTCTGCCCGTTCTAAGTTAACTAATGTCCAATCGAACCGACGAGGCAGCGAACGCTATCCACCCATCAGGCCTATCCCTTATGCTGTGAAAGCTACCACCGGCTTTACCAAGTATCATGTCTCGATTCTCTGACTTGCGTCTGATGTTTCCGTGTCTCGTCTTGGCAACATTTAGGTTACAGCTTATAATTAAGGGATGAATGCATGTAAGGTTCCGCAAATGGGGTTCATTAGCGAAACCTACATGTAGGGACAAGGAACAAACATCCTATGCGTAAGATCAATGTCTGAAGGGTGCTGCAGCTACATGTAGGACTGTGATCCATCAGTCAACTGAAGGTATCCGCGTAGAGAACACAAATTTAAGTTATATACGAGATTTGGGCCAAGACTGTTTGTAGAACGCACTGGTTCCTAGGTTATAGATCCTGATAGGGTTAATAGACACATTCCAATATATGGTCTGCAACTATACCCTAATATGCTATCTATATTTCAGAATGAAAGTCAGTGGGCCGGGTGATTAAACCCAAGCTATTAAGCGCGATCCAAAGTCTGATTATGTAGGATCACGCAGCGGAAAAGCACGAGAGATCACTCAGCATTGTATCAAGCCACCTCCCCAAGTCTAAAAGCGCAATAAGGCCCAACGACCCTTCTCACTCCATGTAGTACTCATTATCCTCTGCAGCTCTGTGTCTGACCCCCAGACACCTAACTAAGTAGATTACAGTTGTTAGGCCATGATATGATCCGATTTCTTTCCTCAGTTACCAATTACGGATAGATTTTTTTTTTTCCAGACGCAGATTGTTATTAGGAAGCAATTAAGGATAGAAGTCATGATCAGTTGTAATTACACGTAGGTACAAGTACATGACATTGTAGAGTTTCTCTCTCTAACCCTAACCCATCTTTTGATGCAAATTATGGATCATGTATAGAAAATCTCGAATCAGGTATTTCCGCCAAAAGATATTGCAATCTTGTTAAAATAAATTAAGATCTGGAATATATAGGTGTATTTGTTCTAGTTTTTATAAGTAGCGTGTATCAATATGTGGGGTGTATGATAAAAAAAAGTTGCATCCCCGCGTACCTACCCTTGATGACACAGCAAAAAAAAGTTATTACAACCTCTCCATCATGTTTCCCTGGTCCAACTCAATATCTACACAGACAACAACCTCATATTTTCTCTACCAAGCCCGCGCGTATACACGCTTCCACACCGTACGCCCGACCCGTACGCCCGACATTCCAGTCGCCACCGAATAAATTTAATAGCCATTTCAAACCCCACACTGCCAAAATGAGTACAACCGGTATGATAAATAACCCGTCAAAGACCCTCAAATGGCTCTAACGAAGTTTGGAATGCAGTCGATAAGATCAAGGCCATTGAAGATGAAATGGGTTAGTTAGCCAATGCTCCCGTTCCGCTTCTATGGAGTGTGATATTGACAGCGGGTCGTGCAGCCAAAACCCAGAAGAATAAGGCCACTTCCTTGTGAGTGCACTCAATTAAAAGAGCTCTCGGCGTTCGAATTACAGCTACGGCAGTTAACACCGGGAATATAGTCATTTGGGTCAACTAAAGGCGAAGCTTGCTAAGTTGCGAAAGGAGCTTGTCACCCCCTCCAGCGGAGGCGGAGGTGCCGGAGGTGAGGCTCTTTTTCTACTAATCCAAAGGAGACTCTGGATTACTTATTACTTTGCATAGTTGGTTTCGATGTTGCGAGAACTGGTGTCGCCAGTGTGTATGTGCCACCTTCAACGAATCATTGTGGGGTAGCTGCTCCAGAGAGGATATCGGCTTACGACTATTTTGCAGGGGTTTTATTGGTACTTTATTTCAACATATTCGCATCTTTTTCAGCTGATCAAAAGACGGAATTGCTTATGAGGCGCAGGATTCCCTTCGGTCGGCAAGAGTACATTGCTTAATCTTCTAACCGGCACGCATTCCGAAGCGGCTGCTTATGAATTTACTACTGTATGATATATTTCTTGGGGAAGAGTAATGGTTGGTGCGTTGAGAGCTACGCTAACAGCTACATACAGCTTACCACGGTACCGGGATGTGTGATGTATAACGGTGCCAAAATCCAAATGTTGGATTTGCCAGGTATTATCCAAGGTGCAAAGGACGGGAAAGGTCGTGGTCGTCAGGTTATTGCTGTTGCCAAAACCTGCAACCTAATCTTCATTGTCCTCGATGTCAATAAGCCATTGACAGACAAGAAGCTCATTGAGGCCGAGTTGGAGGGCTTTGGGATCAGAGTCAACAAGTCGCCGCCAAATATCGTCTTTCGTAAGAAGGACAAAGGTGGTATAGCTGTTACTAATACAGTGCCACTTACCCATCTAGACGCAGATGTATGCCCCAGTAAATTCGCGAGGAGAGACAATATGCTTATTTCTTTTGCAGGAAATTCGGGCTGTTATGCAGGAGTACAAGATCAGCTCGGCTGATATCGCGTTCCGATGTGATGCGACGGTAGATGATCTCATCGACGTTATCGAAGAAAAGAGTCGACGATATATACCCGTTATCTATGCTCTTAACAAGATTGACGCTATCTCGATTGAGGAACTCGATTTGCTCTACAGGATTCCCAATTCGGTTCCCATATCTTCTGAAAGAGTCAGTTTTCCTTATTTTCATTCATCCTGACCTCGTACCAAAGCTGACCTCGAGGAATTAAAGGGATGGAATGTTGATGAACTTTTGGAAATGATGTGAGGGAAAAGAACATCCACGTTTGTGGAGAAACTACTAATCAAAAGCTATAGGTGGGAGAAGCTTAACTTAAGGCGAATCTACACGAAACCTAAAGGCCAATCCCCAGATTATTCATCGCCGGTCGTACTTAGGGCGAACGCGTGCACTGTTGAAGACTTTGTTGGTTTACCCCTTTTCGTATTCGGCTATTTATTGGTTGATTAGGCGCTAATGTTTTCCACAGTGTAAATCGATACACAAAACCATCGTTGATACTTTCAAGGTTGCAATTGTTTACGGCTCAAGTGTCAAACATCAGCCACAAAGAGTTGGATTGAGTCACGTTCTGGAGGATGAGGATGTTGTATGTTTCTCTGCGGGATTTCCCATCCTCGGTATGTTTCCAGATTGGCTAACTCACTACCTCCCCCATTGCCTAGGTTACAATCTTGAAAAAGTGAATGGCATTCGCTTTCGAATTATTGGTAAAGAAGTATGACTAGCAACCATTCCGGGCCGGATGATTCTCGGGGGGCAACATGGATGAGGAAGGACATAGGATGATGGGCCGGTAAAAGATCCGTTGCAGTAACTAAAACAGTTAGACAGTTCTTGCCTGGTTGACGTTCATCCGCCAAAAGCAATATCAAAACATCCTTTTCCACACAACTATTCACGTGTGATACCGCATCCATCAGTTATCTAGGCAAAACTGACCAAAGGGAAATACTCGAACTCCCTCAACGCGTGTGGGGATGTCGGCAGGGGTGACTATTTTACGCCGAAAAGGGATTATGAACAGCGTATTACAAAGTCTCCTTTCCCCTCTCTTCTTTCTCCACTCGAACCACCAGGTTAAAGCATCCACGAATCAAAAAGTCCCGAGACTTTGGGAGCCAATAATGATCATTCTTGTTGGACCTCTGAGGAGGACAAAGCACCATTGCTTCCTTTACAGGCCGGCTTTTACCCGCAAGGCGCAAGAATATTGAAATCAAGAGCAAAGAGGCTAAGGAAGTTGGTAACTTCGTAAGCGACCGTTGATTTCCCTCTAGAACCACGATCTTCCGTGTAATGAAACATTAACTGTGAACGTGTCCCATTTATCATACTTTACACAGACAGGTGTGTGGGTGGGTGGGGGGTGTGTGTCTTTTGTCGAGGAGGCCAAGAGAAAAAAAGACTGACAAAAAAATGAGATGGGATACCTCCACATGCGATGGCGCTTGCAAGACGAAGCATACGAGAAATGGAGATAGTAATACTGTTTCTTGATCCTCTTTCAAATCCCCCTGTCTGTGTTGCAATCTGTAGGCCATAAAGCTTCCCGGATTCCCGAAAGATGCAAAGAACATTCTACCGCCGGGAAGAAGTCCAGAGCGACAATGTCGGACGAGAGTCTAGGGAAACTTCCTTTTACCGGAAAGATGGTTGCCGGTCGCAGTCCGTACCCAAGTCAGGGACAGCGAGACAGGCATTGTACGGAGTTCCAAATTCCAACCAAGCCTCGTCTCCCTTTCCCCTCCCGAGGCCCGGCCTGTCAAAAGGATGGATTATCGATTGGTTGTGGTGGTTGATTTTGATTTACCGTATGACGATGAACCCTGTCCGTGTTTTTCAAGCCAGTTTTTCTGCGCTTAAGGGGTTTTTTCCCTCTTCGCGTTCAGCCGGGTCATGGCCGCCGCCCCCGCCGCGATAGTCTAAGTAAGCGAGTGAGAAAAAGTGTTGTTAGTTTTCTGATTTCGTCTGACTTGTTATCTATCGAGCGATCCAGTCAACAGCTTCTTCTTTTTCCCCCCTCCCCCCTTTAGTTGTGGTTATTTCCAATGTTGTTATTGTTGTGCGAGGACCCCTCGAAATAACCGAGATAGGCAGTATCCGTGAGTGTTTGTGTGTTTATCCCTATATTTTTTTTATTGCCCTTCCTGGCTTTTTTATTGGTTATTTCGATTTCTCTCTGTCTCTGTCATATATATCCCATCCCATCCGATCCCATCACTATCTATTCCCCGGTGATTACATCTGCTTTGTTACCTATAACCTGTTATTTCTTACCTGCTGCTTCTGTGATATGGATACGATACTGTATGGATCATACAGTGTTGATGGGATAGGGATAGGGATATATATATCATCATGTAGTGATAGGGATAGGGATATGGATAGGGATAGGGATTGAATGAATGGGTTGAGGGAAGAAAGAAGATTCAGAGTTTCTCCCGCAGCAGCATACTGCGCCGGTCGGTCGGGCAAGAGATGCGTTCCTGAGGCTTAATTGCATGGCTGGCTGGTTGGCTGCATGACTTCTTCCCATCCCATCCACATCCCATCCACCCCATCCCATCCCATCCCATCCCATCCATCCCATCCATCCCATCCACATCTCACCCTATCCCATCCCTTCCTATCCCATCCTATCCCATCCATCCCAACTTGTCCTATCCAGGTTGACCAGGTTGCTCAAATAAAAAAAAAATATCTCCCCGTTCCCTCCCTTACACACACATGCACACGCGCGCTCTGCATCTCCCCTATGCGGAGAAAATTACTTGTGCGTATTATGATCCCTATAAGGTCTGTAGTTCTCTTCCGGGAGTGAATACATACACAAATAATTATAAGTTTGCTACATAAGGGGAGAAGGGGCTGTTACTGCCGATGGAAGGAGAGAAAGACTGATATGATGGATGAGGTTGGAGATGAGGATGGGTGATCAAAATTACTATTGATTGATTCCCCATGCCTAGACCTAGATAGACCTAGGACCCAGTAGGTAGGTCTTGGTCTTCAAAAAAATAAAAAAATAAAAAAGGAATAAACAAATCTCAGGGTTCATACTGAACTGACCGCCTCCACAGCCACTCCTCGAGTTTACTACTACGCAGAGGTTGGTTAAGCTAGGCACGGGATCCCCCCCCCCCCCCTCCCCAAAAATCCTCAGTTCGCTTCACTTCCGGTCCAGTCCAGAAGCTATCTGCTCGTTCGCTCGTTGCTTGTTGTCGACCGCCCGCCTGTCTCTGCTGGTCCTCATACATAGCTCTTCTCTTATGCAATGGACGGTGTGCACAACCCGCATGACGACTTTGTCAACTCGCAATGGGTTGAGATTGGGATGCAGCAGCAACAGCAGCAGCACCATAACCATCATGGACAGCAGCAGCAGCACCAGCAGCAGCAGCAGCAACCTGCTCCCATACATCCCCAGCAGCAACACCACCAGCATCACCAGCACCACCCTTCTCATGACTTTGGTGCCTATGGCTTCGTGGAGTCACCGGGATTCGTCCCTCAGGACCAGCAGTTCAGGCTTCAGGCACCTCCTGTCCCGATAGCTCCCAACTACTTGGGTTTGTCCCATTGGGGCCAAAATATGGTTCCCCCAGCTGCTTCGCACGCCCAGTTTATGCCGTCGCCTGCAATTGCTCCTCCCCCGGGTTCGGCGCCCTTGCCAAACAACGTGTCGGCACATACTACTCAGTCGACTTCGAGCCCGAGGAGAACACTGACCGACGCGGATAGGCGGAGAATGTGTATCTTTCACGAAGAGCACCCGAATGTCAAGCAGACCGAGATTGGAGGTATGGGAAAAAACTCTCGCGTTTTTTTTATTTTTTTCCTTTTTCATGCACCCCACACACCCCTTCATACTTTTCCCCTATGTTTCGAAACGAAATATGCTGACCTTGACCTTTTCTTGGCATTAGCAATGTTTGGGGTTGAAAGAAGGTAATATCACGCGCGAAAAAAAAATCCATAATAAAACATCAGACGAAAAGCGGCTTAGCTAATCATTCCTCTTGTGCAGTACTGTTTCCAAGGTTCTTCGACAAAAAGAGAAATATCTCTTCCCTGATGATGGGAGTAGATCGCCAGTCAAACGTTCTAAAGGGAAATTCCCCGATATCGAACGAGCATTGGCAGTATGGGCGAAAAACACGCGGAAGCAAGGCGTTGCCCTAACGGATATGATGATACGGGAGAAGGCGAAATTCTTTGCGTCGAGTGTTGGGATTTCAGACAGCCAGTTCAAAGCAAATAGTGCGGGGTGGCTGGAGAAGTTCAAACACAAAAACAACCTGCATGCAAATGGCCGGGGAAGATCGGAAAGCGACGTGACAGGCGCGGGAAGAGCTGCATCAATAGGATTGCTCGGGTCACCGAGACAGGGACACGCGAGGACGGAGTCGACACCGATGTTCAAGCAGGAGGGCGTCGGCCCACTTGGCTCGCCGTTGATGCGGGAGTCTAAGAGTACGGATAGTAACCATACTGAGTCTCCAGAATCCTATATGGAATTCGGTGGGTTTAAGCATCAGATGCAAACACCAGGTTCGGCCAGCACTGCTACCTCCATGTCAAGTATGTTTACCGACACAGGCTCATCCTTCACAGGTCCCGCTTCACCAACCTCGCCATTCTTTTCTCCAGACGCCAGGGGAGAAAGGCTCACCAGTCCTGGTTACCCCCCGCATGTTCGAATTCCAGGTGTACAACGACCAAGGTCACAAACATTCCATGGTCTTGACTCGACATATATATCACCACCACCCTCATCAGAGCCTCTCACTCCCAAGATGATAGGTCAAACCTCCCTTCAACCGTCGTCACTAGCTTCACCGCAGGATATGCCACATGACACGCCAGCCTCATCCCACACCACGATATCAGGACAGAGCGCACCGCAGACGCCTATGGGTCCACCTAGCAGAGAGGATGCTTGTAGGGCACTGGAAGTCGTCATGTCGTTCATGCGGCAGCAACCCGTGGGGTCCATGTATTCGGACGACTATGTACTTGTAGGGAAATTGCTAGGCAGAATTGGCCTGGATGGTGGACCAATCGACGAAAACCATGCCGGATTCCCCGGGATTGCGCCCTGAGAATGTGCCGTATCTCGTGGGGAAGACTTTTTTTTATTATTATTTGTTTTGGCTTATAAAATTTTGTTCATTTTCCTCTTCCTTCCCAGGGTATTTTTTATATTCCTTTTTTCTTTTTTTGTTCGTCTCAAATACCACTGCTATCTTTTCAGATCTTCTATTCAGCGCTATTGCTCCTAATTGTGTTGCGTTTCTTTTTAGCATGCGAACAACTTAAAGGGAGAGTACGCTTTTCGTTTTGAACCTACATTACATCTTCTTTCTCTTTCATAATTGCGGGGATTCTTCTTTACCTTTTTGACCACGTGTGCTACTTAATCATGTTTCTCTATGTTGTTCTCTTACGGGATCCTGTTTAAGATTAGACTGCTAGATTGCGGTCGATCACTTATTTGTTTCGTCCTCCTTCAAGCTTTGTTATTTACGGCTGGTACTACTGTCACTACTACTCCTTCTACTATTTTAGCACTATTCCTTTTATTTTATGGTATTCTTTCCCTTTGGCGTAAGATATAATTACTGATGGCTGGCTTTTGTTGGTTGGTGCTTAGCTTTGGTTACCGCTATCTTTGTTCACCGATTGGGAATCGCATGGTCTGAATTTCGTTTCGTTCGTTATGTATATATTTAGATACCCTTCCTCTTCATCTCCACCTCACACATTTCTTCCCTCGAGAGCACGCGTGTGTTTTAGCTGCAGTACTTTTACTCTTTCTTTAATTTCTTAACCCGCCAGTCCGCTCTGCTAGCTTACATCTTGGCCCGTCGATGCTACTTATCGAACGTTTCATTTACTGTTTTTTTTTATTACCTTGAGCTCCCCTTCCCCTCGCTATTATTAGTTTTTTTTTCTCTACTCTACCTCTACTCTACTTTTATTTGTGCTGTGATCGATTACTTGTTGTTGCTTCTATTGCCGTCATCGCCTTCGAATTCGTCTTCGTCGTTGTTAACTTGCTGCTTTCTGTGCGTTGCTGGGATGGGATGGGTTAATTGGTCGTTAGTTACACTTTCATTTTTTGCGGTGGTTCTTTTTTTGTGTGTTCTTTTTCTATAGGGAAGTTAGGGTCGAATATTTGCAGAATCTAATCAAGAGAGATATATATATAAAAAAGAGAGGAATCGTTTCTATATCAGTGTCCCTTTCTGTTCCTTAACGTTTAGTAATTACATCTAACGATGCAGTGTTACCCCCCGCCCCCTCTCCCGCCTAACATAGGCGACACCAAACGGATTAGGAAATTGACACCTAGTACCAACCTTGCCTTGCCTTTCCCTTCAACCCCCGTGCGCACTGTCACATGTTGAATAACCCATATCATGCATTCACCCGCCGGACTGCCAAAAACATCTACGGCCGGCAAGGAGCAGAGAGAGTGTGATCGTTTCGAGCTGAGCCCATGGGGGGGCAAAGAAAGAAAAATATTACATCTGCGGGATGGGGGAAGGAACTGATGCGGCCGGCCGGGCGGATGCCGATCGGGGTCGGGGCTTTGGAGAGTGAAGGCCGGATTTGGCATGAGGAAATGAGGATGGTCGTTGTGCGTGGTCGTACTTCGGGTTATGGTTGTGGTGACGGCGTGTTGGTCACGGTGTATCACTCGGTGGATAGTTGGTTTGGTTGCTTAAGGATTTGATACTTGAAAGTTTACCCCTTGCTTTGTTTGTTCACCCCTGTCACCCTTCTGCGTATTGTACCTGCATGAACTCTCGTTGAACATTTCTTGGGTAAAATAGTGAAGTAAAAAGGTTCGAGAAAAAGATTCAGACATCCTGTTGCAACCAGGGATATCTTAATGAAAGTTGTCGGTGCCATGAATCGAACATGGGTCCTCTCGGAACAGATAAACAGGGGTGAACCCGTGTTACCACAACGAGAAGTACTAACCACTATACTACACCGACATCTCTACTCATACCAACCAATGCGTTAATATTCAGTTTTCATCACTTGTATCATGAACTATCACTCACTCCTGCAACCGAAAGGATAAAAAGACAATGATACTTGATACAGATTTTTATAACCGCCCACACAAAACAGTCCAGAAAAATAGCCTTCAGGCGCTCGTCCCTCGGCCGAGTAAAAGTCTCATACCCAAGGTTTTAATACAGGCAAATAAAATGAGCGTCAAATTCCAGTCCTGGGGGTCAGATGTTATAGATGATGCCATGTCCGATGCCCTAAGATCACAAGTTTTGCCATGCGAATACAGCTACTTTTGTTTTTCGTGTGGTCCATTTTTTTGAGCAGGATAGTATCTCGTAGGCGATCTGGGTCCTGTCTGACCCGAAGATCTTTTGTACTCGATGACGAAGCTTTTCTCAGTTAGCATCTAAGAATTCCAAGACTCTTTCCCTCCTCCTCCTCCTCCTTCTCCTCCTCCTCATATCCTCATCTACCTCTCTTCCTCTCCTCGCCCTCTCCCTCTCCCCTTCCCCTTCCCCTCTCTCTCTCTCTCTCCACTTCCTCTCCTCTCTTCCCTCTTTCTCTCATATTTTATCCTCTTATCCTGCTTCACATCATACCTATTGATGCTTCAACGCAGTCTCATCAGCATCCCAACCAGCATCCCGCTGCCCACCGGTTGAAGCACCAGTCTGCGGCATGAACACCGAGCGAAACATCGCTCTCCATCAAGGTATTATATCTCCATAGGCTTTTTGATTTGAATAGTTTGGGTTTCTAACTGATAGTATGACAGGCCTCTACCTATTATAAATTATTATTCTAGAGGCTTCATATTGGAAAAACTCCATCGAGGTACTATCCTAAGATCCTCCACCACTCATTGAATATCTCATTTTTCTAACTATGTATTAGGTTGCCACTCGGCGAGGCTGGACAGTGGGATAATATTCGAGAGCAATCTCGTTATTGGATAACCGCTGCCTTGCTGGCTCTTTGTAGCTGAGGTTATTGTCCAGGATACTTTATTCCTGTAGGGCGGTTGTACTGGGCTCATGGGCTTGCTGCTGCTGCTATATAAGAGCAGCAGCCCACAAGGCTCTATGGAACAGAACGTTCCCTACCGTTTTCCGACATCTCAGGTCTTGCTGGATGGCCTCATCAGCAGTGGCATATGGCGTGTACATGGAAATCCCTGAAAACCGATTCTTCCGCCTTGGAGGTCTCCAGCATGCAGCACCAAGCAGAAAATTGAAAATCTCAAGTATTCTGCCTTGGGTCCCCGGAGAATACAGCGGATATTGCATTCTTCCGTCGTGGGGTCTCCAGTAAGTCGGAAATTTAATCCACTTACAACAAAACACGGAGGTCGACCCTCCTACCGTGCTTGCTTCTAGCAAAAGATATTGTCGGCAAGTAATCTTTGGAGCTTTCGAAAACAGTGAGAGCATTTCCTTCTATATTCTATTTCTGACTTGTACTAATGGGTGTAGTGAAAGAGTAATGACCTTGTTGACGTCACATACGCCCACACCATGTTTGTGGAGCGTAAAAACATTACTTCGATGCATTGTGCGGTGCCTGCAAGGACGGTAAGAATACCCTCTTCTATATCCTAACTTGTACTAATAGGTGTAGAAAAAGAGGATGGACTCTAACATCGAAAGACTGTTATGTGTCTCTGGGGGGCCAAAACAATAAGGACAACAAGGTAAGAAGGTCTTCTCTATTATACGTATTCTGATTTGTGCTAATAGTCGAGCCGTGAATAGCCTACCGTTTGTGCGCCATGACTTGCACCCTATATGCAATCTCTTGTAGGGCGACTATACTGTGGGCTGTAAGCCCCTTTAGTGTTAGTTTCAAGCCGCGGCCAGCAATTCAATGCGCTTACAGTGTGTAGCCTTCCCTACTTGAAAAGAAAAGTTCTAATCATTATTAGATGAAAATATGACCTTTTTGTGCTTTACAATATTCTGGGACCAATACAAATTCTTAGAGTTATCTGCTGGACTTGTTGGAGCCAAAAAGGAAAAGCGGGCATAATGTTTTTTTAAAGATAGAGCGTAATAATTAAACCGTAAAAACAGTTGCGATACCTTGCCGTTGATAATATCAGTGTGACCGAACGTCAATTCTTTTTACGCCACGTTAATCAATGCCTTCTAATAGCAGAATAGTGGGTTCGATGGATATATAATAGGTATAGCTTTTAACACTAATCAATAACTCGACAATATTACGTTGTGGTTGAGCGTGGTAAAGTATTCTGTGATAGTAGCTCGGTGAGATTGTAGTTCTTTCTTCCGATTGGCTAGCTAGGGGCTGCCATCGTCCTTCTAGGTACTTATGCGGCTAGTTAGTGATGGTCAAAATGAATCCATAGGATACCTCAAAGCCAATAAATATACTTGAAAATAAATACTCCGAAAGCTTTTTTCGAACGCCGGCAAGAAATACCCCACGAACGAGCTATATTCCATCATGCAAGGAGCTCGGGCATCACGATCATGACGTCCCGAAAATTACCACTTGACGTAGGGTACATCTCCCGCCGCACGGCTTCCCATAATTAGGATCAAAACCCTGCTCTTGGCCCCGGCCCCAAAAAAAAACCTGTCCCATCAGTCCTTTCCCCTACCCTACCCTACCCGCTGCCGCCAAGACCGTTAGCCGAAGGTCACGCGCCGTTCTTTCGGGTCGATCGCTTTAAATTCCGCTCGGGGCACCGATTGGGAATCCCAGGGAACACGCACGGATAGCCCCGTTGGCAGTTGCGACTCGGACAATAAGAAGACCCGGCAGTTTCTCGTGCAGTGCAGCGCGGCTGGAGGTGAGACATGCAGTGTTTGGGCCGTTGGGTGGCTGGCTGATATGATGGTTAGCTTTAGCGATAGAGAACGGTAGATATGATAAGTGTGGTATTAATGGGGATAGAGTAGAACAGGACAGCTCACGAACTTCTACGGCGCCCACACGTACACGCGGGTGTGTATCGAAGAGTATGCACATTACTCTAGAAGCACATAGTTGGCTGTCTTTCGGCTGGGTGGTGGAGTTATTCTTGGTTGACGGTATCCCAGGAATGTTACTCGATCTGCCTTGAGATGTGTTGCTCATCGATTACCCCGGTTTACCGTGTTTGTTGCGGTTCCTGGATTTGTTCGTTCATGGAATGTCACTCGTGCCAAGCCCAAGAGTGAAGATCTAGCTCCGAGGGGTGTTGGAAGCCTGAAAAGCACAGAACTGGTGGGAGTAAGTGAGAGCCAGAGTCAGAGTCATTCTAGATCTTTCATGCTCTTGTATGTCTACTTGCACTTATGAGGCTCCAATTGCTATTAGATAACGTGTCGTGTGGACGAGGCTACATGACACTTGTCATGAACGGTGTCATCTTCATTTATTATTAGCTAGGAAGAGGAGAGGTCATAATAACATTCGACCAGCTTCATACATACTATTTATTCCAGCTCCTAGAGATACATGTATAGACCCAAGTTTCGTTCGATGTTGTTTCCGAAATGTTTTTTTCCAATAAGAAATCTACGTACGTCTACGTACAGGTATGACGCACATGTGCTATCGTGGAGGAGTAAGTTTAGCACGGCCATATATGCATAACCACTGTGACTCCGGCCACGTGTACATTCCCCACATACCGTAGACCTGGTACGGTAGACTGTTTGATCCTACAATTAACCCCCTGTGTGGCCAAATTGACCATTGCCCATGTTGAGAGTAATAACGAGTGACATGCGGTGACTTAATTTAAAGCAAGGTATGTCTCGATATCCAGACGAGGCTATGCCATGTAGCTAGACATACACATGACCGGCCAGTTTAATAGCTACATAGGCACTTCAAGCCGCAATGCCTCGCGCAGTAGTTGTTCATGTGCCCAATAGAAAGCCATGGCACAGCATAAATATTACCAAATACATACGATCCGGACTCTCATGAGTGGTCCATGTGTCTACATGCAGGTAGTTAACGAGTTACTTCTATAGACCCTTCTCATGATCATGGGTCACAAGTCTCCTAGCTCCCCAGCCCTCTCTCTCCGTGGTAACTCGATCTTCAGCATATCGAGTAATTTATGACTAAAGTCAACTTCTCAATTCAACTACTCTAACTAGTCTCGCTGACTAGATCGGAACAAGTAAGCTTTAGATATATCTGCAAGAAAACCCAGAAGTCATAAGGTTTTGGTTACTGCGCGTCCCAACAGATGGGACTCTGTTGGGTTGTGCTTAAACCAGCCTTTGTGCAATTAATGGTGATACTCGTTCAACTTTCGAGTCCAATGGCACCGGAAAGCGGGTCCTAATGAGTTACAATCTATTGGTCAAATGAAACATCCAGTCAGGACGGTCGTTTCCAACTTCCAACTTCGCCTTCCTCTCAACCCACCTTGGGGTCCGACGACGATGAAGGATCTGCTGATTCGACGATAGAGGACATCATAGCCCGTCAGCGCTATCAATTGCCGTAAATTAAGTTCGATATAATTACTATATGAGGCTTAACCAGTAAAAATACAAGCCGAGTCTGGCCGACGCTATCCGTCTAAGTTCCGTGCGCCGCCCAGAAAAACAAATCGACTAAAAGAAAATAAAACGAAAATAAAACGAAAATAACGCCAGGAAACCAAGACTGAGAGGAGTAGAAAAGGAAGCATTATGGTGAAAATGTGAAAAGAAAGAAAGCAAAAAAAAGAAAGGGTATGTTGAGTTAGATAAAAAAAGAGCCGGGCCAATCCGCGATTATTCGTTTCGTGTACTCAAAACGAGAATTAAAACAGCCATAGAGAGCAGTTATAAACCCAAAGTTATTCCTTGCCGGAGGAACTGGTTTCACTGATTTTGTAGGTTGATCAGCAGCTCGCGCCCTTGATCTTTTCAATTTTCCCCTGAACTGAGTAGTAGTTGCTCATTTGAACTTTGTTCTTCTTTCCTGTTGTAGGGCAGAAGCAGTAACAACCGCCTAGATTGAGCGTTAGCAAGAGAAATTGGATTATGGATTGAGGCAGAATTACGTTTTTCAGCCCATGGAGGGGTGTAAAGGTGTAGTGACACGGCTATGTTCTCTGGGTCTGGGTTTTCAACACGATGAAGGCCAATCTGAACAAACAGTTAGTAAATAGACATGGGCAAGGATGTGTGAATGTGGGAAAAACATACATCGTCAGAGATATAGGTAACTTCATCAGTACCATAGACAGTAACCTTCTCGACCTTTAAAGGCTGATCTACAGCAACTTCCGAAGGCATTTCATATAGTGTTTCTTGGAGCTTTCCCTTAAGTATCTAAATGGATGTTTGTTAGAACAATGCATTCAGTTGAGTCCGAAGGATAGGAAAATTTACCTTCATAATACAATGCGCATCTGCGTGGTCATGCACCGGACTGCCTTTCCCAGGAGTCCACACAAGAATCAATAAATTGGCCTTTCCGTTCCCGTGGTCAACAAAGTTTCGTGTGTAGTTCCTGCTCAAATCTTCTAGCGCGAACCCTCCCCAATGGGATTCATCGGAGGTGTATCGCTCCATGACCCTGATCAAATCCTTAACATCGACATCGGCGCTGTTGATACCGGAGGACGGGCCAAGAACCCGCTTGATATCCTCGACTAGGTTCTCGAACGCATTGAGAGGTCTTTCAGTATCGAACTTTAGACACATGCATTTTTTGATGGGTTGAGTATAAGCTTCGGTGATGTTAGTATCGGGAAGTGTTTGCTGAACTGCTGATGGAGCCATTGTTGAAGATAATTTAGTGGTAATAATTAATGGTTGTGGAGTTTTGGAATTTTTAGAGAGTAGGATGATATGGATAGACAATCTTCAGCTATCTTGATAAATAGAGGGTGGGTAGAGCGTGCTAAATATAATGGATGTTGAGACTCTCAACACGGTTATCTTGAACGGCGGTTATCTTCGGGCAACCTTGGTAGCTCTGTGCTGTCCAAGATGTAGTAGTTATCTTTCCCCTTTCCCAATGTCCACGAAGATATTACGGCGCTGTGCGTTGACCTCAGAACTTGGTAATTTGTCTCGCGAAGGGTTTTTTAGGGTCGACGTAGCCGCATCGGACGGCTACGTTACCAGAACTGTTCGGGTAAAGATAGCTGGCAGGGTAGGCAGATCAATCACACGGAGGCTCTTACTTGTGGACGTGTTATCAGGTTTCTATGATAGACAAGAGTAGATACGTACAGCGCCATACATAAGTTGTTGGAGATTGGAGGCTGGTGGTAGAATATCGCAGTACATGTAGGTACCCCGAGTGACCTCGCCGATGAGACCAGCTCTCAGCTCTCTTCCTTCTCCACAATTTCCAAAACGCGTTAGAGCTGTAGCGGGTACACATCACAGGACCATTCCGAGTCTTGGACCTCAACTCCTAAGCTACAACTCAGGGGAGGCGCGAGCACCTCAATTAGATGAATAGTAGATAATCTACTATTCACGCCTGCATGGCCCTGCCTTTCCTAGCAGCTGCATGACATTGCAGCGCGTATCCATCTCGTTGGTAGAGTTGCTGCACTGTATCAGACCCCACGGTTTGACTCGGCTATCATGCACACTGTAAGTTCGTTATCGATTCTCTATGCAATCAGGGCCCCTTGATAGAGCCATGATAGCTAACTGATAGATAAGTGAGACACACGCATGTAGTTGGAGCTCTTCTGTTCGGCAGCGGAGGCTTCATAAATGTCTGTACGGGTAGAGTAGGATAAACTGGTTTTGGGCCCGAGGCTTGGCGTATATCATGTGATCTCCGCTATGTCTCTTGGCGCACGAGGAAGTCCATGACGTCCAACAGTCTAATGACGGAAAAAATCACTGAAACTTTTCGAAAGGGGCTTTTAAGTTCACGATTTGCTCCAAATGATCAAAAGCGCTGGGTGTTGGAGTTTAATGGTTATTATTAGGCATTTCGCCTATCTACAGATCTGTTTTATGATTAGTGTCAGCTAACAAAAAGCCATGCATGCCGGTGTAATACCAAGCTGAAAACGAACTGTTATGGTAGCACCACTGTGTATATTATCATAGGAGAGATACTCAAAGTGCCGTGATTCATCTACAACGACGACATGAGAGACACTGCTCTGCAATAATATGCTGTGTAACTGGCGTCGCGCTTATCGAGTGAGAAGGAGTGATTCAAACCGCCGCTTTAACCCCCGTTGGCTGCCGGATGTGTGGGCGCGTGGGCAAGCTTAAAGGTCGACTCACGCTGTCGGAACACATTTGATTACAAGCACTCAAACGCGGACGGTTAGAGTGCGGCTGTGGGACCACTCTTAAAGTCACTGTGGAATTAATTTCAGGTACATATCTAATATGTACTACATCTACTGGCAAGAGCGGACAAACCACTAGTAGCCCCTAGAAGGGGGATGAACCTAGCCCTCTGCAAGGTTCCTGGGAAATCGAGTTGGATTTGTCCGCTCTCGCTAGTTGATGCGGTATAAAATCATCTCAAGAGCTCCTAGAAAAGATCTCAAACGAACTAACACGTCTTTACCAGTAAGTAGATACAACCCAATCACTAAGGTATATAATGGATAATATTTTAGATTCTTACCGTCTAAGACTCAAAATAGCACGTGACCTTACCAACTGCGAGTGCTAACTCATGATTGTGTTTTCGAATCGCTTAAATCTAAAATCGCGGCACTAAGATATGATCCTAGGGCTCAATAAAGCGACCGACGAGTGACGTATACAGTCACTTACAAACTCCAGACCTTGCTATGGTTATGGTTGGCACTCGTTTTGACATGGCCAGAAAGCGTTGATTTCCCGCGGGCAGTGTGGTCCATGAGGACGCTCGAGGCGAGGTTGAGAGTGTCCTCGTTGACCTTTGTCCTTGTCTGACCTCGACGTCCAACACCATTATCCTCGAGGATGGTTCCGGGAGAGATAGTATGCCTAGAATTGTCCTCGAGATTACTTTCTCTTTTAGACCATTGTCCTTGTATGTCATCGAGGACACAAGGACGCCCGTCCTCGTGGACCATAGTAGTACACCCCGAAATTTTGGCATGCGTTTCAGAATATCCCGCGCTTCAAAATGTCCACTACTACGACCGGCCATTGTCCAGAAAAGACTAATGACGGGCACGAGACAAGACGAGACCATTTTGCACCAAGTCTCGTCTTGTCTTGTCTCGCCCCACCATAGTCTTGGAAGTCTCGAGACCTGAGGTAAGTCTCGAGACGAATCTCGAGACTGTTATAAGCTAAACTCAATCTAGATTTGAGGTAAGAAGTTGTACCCAAATCCGTTAACGTTCACTTTTGAACAGGGACCAGAAATTCTTGGCAATAAATTGTGGATAGAATTCGGGTCCAAAATGTACGCCCGATTTTCAGAAGCCCGTATATGGGGAAATCTGAGCATGAGGAAGCCTAAATATTAGGAAAAGCCCTTGATTTGGATCATTTAACATCACTCGGAAGTCTCGAGACTTATCTCGAGATTTGGAGAAAAACTCTCGAGACATCTCGTCTTGTCCCAGGGTCATCTCGTCAGTCTCGAGACAAAGTCTCGGGACTGTGAGTCTCGTGCCCATCATTAAAAAGGACTGATTGTTGTTGGCACAAATAGACGAGAAGCTTAGATTAACAGCCTTCTGAACGGTGAGGCTTCCAGGTCTCAGGAGTCTAGCTAGGCGTAGCTAGACATTTATTCATAGCTGTCACCTATCAAACAGGCCGAAGATGTCGGATCCGTCGACAGACTTCGAATCGTAGGTGTATTTTCTTCTATTCCCTAAGCCAGGTGGAACTTCGCTAGGTCGAAATGTCCTACCGTGGATAGCATCCCAATTGAAAAGCGGGGGAAGGAGGGGGTTGTATACACTGAGCAGACTTGTCTTCATGGGTCAGCTGTAATATGCTAAGTAGGTTACGAGGTGGCCTTGATTCGAGCGAACGCGCTTGGTAGGGAAGACATTAGAAAGCTTAAGTTAAAGCAGAAGCAGACACTTTTAACATTCGCAGATTCCCTTGTTTCGAATTGTGAAATCCTTGCAATTGCTGATGGTCCAATTCCAGAATTTACTACACTTGTGATTACAGTCAACGACAGGGTTCTTGATTTTCTTTTTCGCCTTCCACTAATTCTCTTTTTTTAAAAAAATCGAAGACTTACGAAGACCAAATCATGCCCCTGAAGGTTATTTTAAGCCGAAACTTTCACATTTAAGAGGCAATTGAACGAGAACAGTCCATGAAGAAAGATTGGGTCACTTCAAACCGCTATGCCTCCCATATTTTGGCACGTTGTCAAAAAAAAAGTTGAAATATTTTGCACGGCCTTGGTATTCTATGGGCTAAAAAATCGATTTTTTTTTTTACCGGTGCCGTGCAAGCCAAAAAAAAAAAAAAAAAAAAAGGCTTTTGCAATTGACGAAAAAAGAAATGTATGGCGGGGTCGTGCAAATCAACCTACCCAAATACCACGAAACACTTCATGCTCCACGTGCACGGGAAATCTATCCCCAACAACTACATGTATATATAACCAAATTAATTGATAAAGATCCAGAGACGTAGAAATAATAAGCTACTGATTAATCCATATCAATTGCCTGTCTTCATCTGTTTTTATAATTTCTTTCCTGGGTGAATTCGAAATAGCTTTTTTAAAAATTGTAAGATTTACCTATAATGGCCGGCCTCAAAATCCAGGGTCAGGTATATCGGCCTCAGCCTTCCCACTCGTACTCAGAGCTGCCTCGCATCACACCGTCCTCGAGGGAGAAAACAGTGGTTAGGGTTGAAATGGCTGCAAAATTTATGGTAGCGCCTGGCCTCAACTACGAGCTATAGCGCTATTCCACAATGATGTAGAAATTTTTTTCATTTGTAGCTGGCAATCTACCAAGCCGGTGTGATCTGAGCAGTTGGGAGTTTAGCTATGAAACCAAGGGTTTCCCCCGTACCCTCTTCTTTTTTTCCTTACCGGTGCCGGGTCTAGTTTCTATGGCCGAGAAAGAGACTCGTTTCAACCCTTGGACGAGCTCGAAGTGTAGGGTACATCTGCCTGCCACCGCCCCCTCATTCCAACTATCCCACCCTCCACATGCCTATGGGTCTAGATCTATGGCTGAGACGGAGACTCGTTTCGACCTTCGGGCGAGCTCCAAGGTAGGACACATCTGCTCAGCATGTGGAGACGGAGAATTGGGTGAGGGAATTCACTCTTGGCTGTATAGCGAGGAGTTGATTCCCTCTAACATTTGGGTTTTTGGCTTTAATTGGTTTTCTGGGGCTTTGGGTTCTTTGCCTTTTGGGTCTTTTGGGTTTTAGGCTTTGGTTTTTTTTTTGGCTTTCTTTGGGTTTGGGTTTGGGCTTTGGGTTTTGGGTTTTCTAAGACCTGCGGGTTTTTATCTTTTTTTCGTGGGTTTCTTTTCTCGTGGGATTTTAGGTTTTAATTGAGATTTTTCTTTGGGTGTAGCCCTGGTTTGGCTCGTAGGTTTTCTTTTGTCTCTTATGTACTTAGAACTTCCTTATAAATTTAGATCCATAATCTGGAATTCTAGTCTAGCATTACGAATTCCGTGAGCTTAAACCGAAGACCATCTTTTGTTTCTACGGCTTCTGCCATTTATCTTGCTGTATTTTTTTCTTAATCTAGTCCGCTAAGCTTAAGTGATATGACGGAAAATTTCAAGAACAGAGTTTTTCTGCAACCTGGGGTACATACCTGGGATTTGCCAAGGTTGAATAGATTTTTAAAATTTTTCTGGCCAATCAAGGTATATAGAACGGATAAAAGATTTTTCTTCTGTTTTTGCAAGTGAACTAGCTTGGAAATTGGCCAAGTTTAATATTTGGCCAAGGTCTGGCTCGAGACAAGTAATACTCAGCATAAAATATTTATTCAATCACGAAAGCACATACTTGGGCAAATTACATGTAAGCATGACGAGTCTTTAATATAGTTGCATATGTATGTATATAATTATAGTTAATTAATTGTTCAACACATTATATTACTACTTGGGCATTATCAAAATATGCACGGCGATATCTTAAGACCAAATTTCTCAACAAAACTACTGGCCCTATAGCAATTATAGACCCGGCAGTTTTATGTCAAGTAGATCTAGGCACTATCGACGCCGGATCTGTTTCTACAGGGCAGAGGGGCCCGAAGGCGTTGTGTGTGTAGTAAAGTATTCTGCGTTCTCCTTCATCATATATCACTCGACGTACATACTCTTTAAAGGAACGTGACTTACCTTATTTGGGGGAGGGATTAACCTGCTGAATACATAAATTTGAGAGACTAAAGAAGTCGAGATCGTGGGCACGCATTTGTTGCAGCTGTAGAAGCATAAATGTGCGGTGGAAAAAAATTTGAATTGAGCACATGTACATACCTGGATGGCTAGCTGGATTACCCAAAGAAGGCTAAGCTTCCCTCGATGTTAAGGGTGAAAAGAGGGTGGGAGTGTAGAGCCAAGATATTTGTACCCATTTCACTTCCAACCTACTAAAGAAGCTAGCTCCGAGCGCAAAAAAACGTTCTTTTGAACCCGTTAGGCACAATAACATCTCTAACCTTTATAATAGAAAGGAAAGCTTTGTACAATTTTCAGCACACTTAACTACATAAACCAAGCGTTTCGCCGTATTCCTTTCCTTTTTCTTCCTCACAAACCTCCAACATTTATCGCTCGATACAACATCTCGATAAATTTCAATCCCTCCCGCAAACTCCCAAAGCCTTCAACCTTCTTCTCTCAATCATCTTCAAACAGACATCATGTTCGGATTCGTCAAAATCGTTGCCATTGGCCTCGCCATCGTCAACCTCGCAGCTGGCACTCCCATTGCCGAGAACACCGACAGCTCCATTGGCAACTTCAACTCCACCATCCTCGAGAAGCGCATGGAGTTCCTCAAGTGCGAGACCACCATCGGGTCCCCCTTCAGAGACGACGTTGAGGCCGCCGCCACTATTATTGATCGCAGACCCTTCTGCTGCCAGGATTCTGCCAGCAACTGCAATGATCTCATCACCAAGGAGAAGTCTGCTGCCGTCTCCATCTGCGCCTCTGCCCAGCTCCCAAACACCTGCCCTCTCTGTGAAGACGTTGCGAATTACATTCGCAAGGTCGCCTCATCCTGTGCCTGGAAAGACCCTGCCGCCAACAACCGCGAGCGCTCTGGAGGCTGGATCCAGAACACCGGCAATCGCCCCGAATACCGCATCGTCGTCTGGCACAGTCGCCCTTAAATGGCATCTTCGGCCTTCGATTCTGGCTTTTTCTTGGGAGTTATGGGATCCATGGGGGCAATCTTTGATTCGTTTTTTTTTCCCCTTCCCACTTCTTTCATTTCGTCAGCAACTTCTGTAATCTAACTTTCAATCAAAACTTTTGAAAGTTACTAATAGTCTTCTTTTTCTTCTTCTTCCGTGACTCAAACCAATTAGTGACTGTGACATTGAACCATTGTGACCAAAAAAAAAAGTGAGAAAAAAGTGAACGAAAAATTTCTATGCCATCCACTATTTTGTAGCTCTAACTTGTAATATAATTGAGTGAACTGTTAGAAAGATTACCCCACACTCTGCCACTCCTCAGCTCTCGTTCTCCCTTAGCCCACTACACCATAAAGACTCGGCCCCCCGCGCGCGAGCAGAGTTCAGACACAACGCTTCCACTCCTTATGTAGCATCCACCAACGTGCCAACCAACCACATCCTCTACCATCTCTAAAGTGTGAGATAGGCTCTAATCACCAATATGCCCTCTTAATTACCAAACCTCTCTTTGCACCTAGGAACTTGCTTTAAACCCACCGGCACGGCGCCGGCCCACAAAAGTTGTCTTCTGCGCCTTTGGTTAGAACTGCGATAGACGTCGACGCTTAACACAAATCTTCAGCACTGGCCATAGGTATAACAAGCCCCCGCAAGCTCGAGTCTCTTTCGCGGGATGTTTTCGGGCTGTGTCTTGGGCGGTATCACAAGTGAAATGTTCCAATGTTCGCACGACGAACCCTAACCCTACCGAGTGATCATTCATGATTACTACAGAGTGAGTTTTTACTCTCTGTTTTTTGTCTCGTATATTTTATGACTCTCAATTGCAATAGAGGCTAGTGTAGCAGCGCTGATTAGTATCCAGTCTAAGCTTTGCGGCCACGATTTGTCCGACTCAAAATCTCAGCAACAACCGTGAGATTTGGAATAGCTCCAAGTACTAGGAAGCCTTACCGGTATCTTGCTTGTGGTGCTCGAGAAAACAGTTCTTCATCTAAATATGGCAGGGGTCTATCGCTTCCTGAGCTATTCTCTATGTGTCGCTACCATCTTCACATGGAATTTCGAGTCTATATTAAGGTCCCTCGGTCGACCATGGGTGCAGCTAGATATTGGGCGTTTAGTACACGAGTGCGATGGTTTGTACGGGCTCTGCGTTCTGGGTGGTCAAAATGTCAAGCGACTTTGATGGTTACCATATGTGGGGGTGGGGTACCACGATGTTATCCATGTGATAATCTTCCACGGTGAAGGTGTTGGTGCGAATATTTTGCTGAGCAGTGCCGCTATCAACCCGGGTCCTTGCCGAGTTCAATTGTTGGTCATGGTGGTCGTGCCGGTAAGAGCAGAAGGTGGAGGAAGGCGATCAAGTATGGCATCGGGATATTTATAACCACCACGGGACCTGTGGAAAACGGGGAAAGTCTTTATCAGTAGGTATTCAAGAATTGGTTAAATGGGGTAATAGTGTTGACGCACACCGAGGGCCACGGTAGTTATGGTTATTTACAAGTCACCAATGAGATCAAGGTAGATACTGAAACTAGAAGCCGGGTCATGGGAGTGTTAGAGTTCGTCGAGGGGGTTGATACTTATTCTCAGTAGCTAGTGTTAGCTGTTTACCGGCTTGCGTGGGAGATTCGGGGCGTTGATTAAGTATGAGCTCTAATTTTGGTCCCGGGTTGATCCCGTGGTAGAATCTCGCGCGGAGGGCCTGATTTCTAAGGCCCAGCTGGAAAGTGCGGTGTAGTACTTGAGGATCAGTTGCGGCGTAAGGGGGATGTAATGATATCTGCCACATAGTGCTGGATTAGATGTGTCCACATGATATATGCTTAGCTGGTTAGTACATATAATGTCGGGATGGAATATACGAGTTTCAACATCATGTTCAGGACTCGTTCTTATACTCCTGTGTGTATTAAGATTGCTACAAGAAGGTGCTTGAATGCTTAGACGCCGAATTTATGTACTCTGATTTGCTTTCCTCCATTCAGATCCACAGCTGCCGCAGCTAGCTGCGCAGTGCAGCCCACCGTAAATTGACATCCAAGCCATATGAAATTTCCCGCACACCATTAACCGCCAAACCCACCGTACCAAGCCCCAACCAAGCCATTTTCGAAAGAGTAGGGAGAGATCTAGAACAAGCAACATGACTAGAATTAGTCTACTTCTTTCACTAGCTATCACTCAACGTATACTTACCAACTTTATATTGCCACGTAAACAAAAATAAGGTGCTTAAAGATCAATCTTTGTTGCTCTCGGCCTTACGCTCTTTGATCCCATCCAACTTATCCTTAATCTTGATAGACAACTTCTTGATCGGTCCCACGCTTCCCGCAAGGCACGATGTGCAGTGGCTGCCAGGGTCTTTCATGTTGGCTGAGTCGATGTACTCGTGGGGTTCGACATCGCAGCTCTTGTGGGTGGACTTGCGGATGCGCTCTGTGTGCCCGCAGCCGTAGGTGATGGTCATGTAGATGCACATTGTGAGATTGTGGATGGAGGGGGTGAGTGGAGATGTGTTCAGATAGATTTTTTTTGGAGAGTTTTATGGGGGCAAGTGTGGCTTGAGGTCGGGGAAATTAAGGTTGTGGGTATGTCTTCGTAGTGGCTAAAATGTTGCGTAAAGTGGATTTTCTTTTTGACTTTGGAACTCGTATGTTACTTACCTAACCAGTAGAACGGGTACATGTACATCTTGGGAATGTTTCTACGATTTTCTTTTTGTGAGCTCACGTTCTACTAATTACCACCCTTACAAAGAATCCTCACAACGGGCACTGAATCAAAACGAGATACCCGATACCAGTATAAAGAATATGGGACGAAATGATTGTATGGGAGTTCTCGAACCTGCTCAATTACGCTTGCTTACTGTGTACAGAATGCTATGGCCAGCTTTATACGCAGATATCAATAAAACGTCTCCTCTTCCGGCACCGGAAGTGCTCTATTAGCTACAAGCTGCCTATCACCAGGCTCGCTTTCCTGTTCACATTAGGGGGCTGAGAGATTGAGTAACTTTTGGCTGCTATGTTGAAGCGGAAAGCTGAGATAGTATGCGGGTTTAGGATGCTGCGGTATAGTGTGTACACGATTGTTTTCTCGCCAAGCTGGGGGTATTATTACTGGATTCATTAATGGGTATAGTTGTGATTTTGGATAAGAATTGTAACACATCTCAAGGTAGCTATAAAACCCTTTCCACGGATAGCCGCTATATTTAACTGCGTTAATTTGCCTTACTATCGCGGCACACAAGATCTGACGTTGGAACAAACACAAGTACGATTCAGGTGCAGCAAGATTGTGATATTGTATTTAGATATCTAGACGTTGAGTACATTCCTTTTTTCGCGTCAGATACACAGCTCATTAACATTCAGTCATATTACCAGCCAATTCCTACTCCCAGTTAGCTCTGAGTCCTGCCGACACAGTACAATTGCAACCAACCAACCAGGATCATTCAATACATCTTCACAGCCCATCACTCGAAGATATCCACCTAGCAACCAACCTCCATCTCCGAAGAATCAGCCGCCGACCTCACTGTTGCGTAATACAGGGAGAAGTGGAAGAAACACCTACCATTTATCCGTCCACCGACCATCACATCAACTCTCCATCGTGTGCGTTCTGGACTTGGATCTCCTCCTTCTTAACCGTGATAAGTTGCCTCTCCTCCTTCTTGATAGTAATAGGCTTCCTCTCCTCCTTCTTGGCCACGATCGGTGCCTGTATCCTGCCCAACCCCGACTTCCAGGACGGCTTTGCGGTAGCGCAAGTGGCGCAATGACCGGGGTCACGTAGCTGGGCGGAGTCAACGTACTCGTGGTGGTGGACCTCGCAGGTGCTGTGGGTGGATTTGCGGATGCGCTGCGTGTGGGCACAGGCGTAGGTGATTGTGAGCCAGGTGCACATTGTGAGTGTTTGGGGGTAGATGAGGGTGTTGATGGAGATTTTTGGAAGGGTTTTTTTTGGGGAGGGTGTAGGATGAGGTAGGTGTAGGATAAGGTAGATGGAAGGATGTCTATGGACGTTTGAACGGTTATGAGTGGGTGAAGGTGGATGGAGATGGATGGGGGTGTTAAAAACGAACGGGCCCGAGGTTTTGGCTTGCTTTCTATTGGGGTATGTAGTACGTGAAAAAACAGGACCTCAGGACGCTGGATTATTTACATGCTTTGAGTTAATGCCAAGAGCTTATAAATTCGCCGTCGTAAGATCTATATACGTATGCCTTATCTCTCAGCTTAACTAATATGAAAATAAGCAGTCTTGACTTTTTCTGCCTATATATAGCATAGCATAGCGGAAAGCTTATTTACGATAAGAGTACGCTCGGGATCATAAATCTCTACCCTTATAGGCTGGAGATTACTAGACCGAGAACGAAGGGAAAAAGATGTTTTTTTATATCAGTACTACATGTAGTATAGTACAAAGATCCATCAACAATTTTAGTTTAAAGAAACGCTTTGCTAATATTTTTGATTCCCCTAGAGTCCACAGTTCTTATGATTTCAGTATTGTGTCTCGTTTTTTTGAATTATGTCAAGTTGCGGAATTACTAAACGAAACCAAATACCAAAAAAGGCTTCTCAATCCCGCTCAAACAATAATTAGGTACGTGGGCACCTTAGATGTAGTACCAACCCCATAGCCCATATATAGTCGCTCCGGCTGGGCCACAGTAATGCCACGGGCATGAAATTTAACTACATGTATGTAGATCCGGGCCGATCGGAATACAGAACCCAACCCAAACCAACCAAATCCCAATTCTCTTCTCTTGACATCGGCCTGGCCTGGTCTGGCCGGTGCCGCGTATTAAGCTTTACGCTAGTAAAACTATAACGCATGCCCTCAAAGTTACCCAAATAACTACTCTAAGCATCGGGTTGAATAGCCCAGCGGTATTGAGTCATTGCCTCAATAGCTGGCTGTGTCTTAATATGCGTGCGTTCAACCCATGCTGAGATCACTGCCAGAGTGATTCAGCAGAAGATTACCAGCCTGAAACCCCGCCGCAGGGGATGAGGGTTGGGAACTTTTTGACTTTTTGCCCACCCCACTCCACTAGTCGACTCTCGTAGCGGGACTAGTATAGTCTGAGAATGAGACTACCGCCCTACTAACCGTTTCTTCTTCGTTAGGCTGTCTTCATCAATCTGTCGTCGCTCCCAAATGCAGAAATATATATGCGAACTCTTGAGTTCCCATTAATGGATAATTTGAAGTAGGGTTAGGAGAGAGGTATATTAAACCCATCTTCATTCAAAAAAATATTAGTGCCCTGAGCTCACTTAGCGATACTTGCGGTTGATTGGTTGAAAGAACAAGAGGTAGGAATGTTGAAGGACTTGCCTGATTTCTATCATATTGAAAATGTTTGGCCGGTGCACATTAAGAAACTTTAGCATTAACACTACTTTTATTTGGCAGGTAATATATATTACACCACCACAAGTATTAAAGCTCATCGGGATGGGAGTTTTAACTTATTGTTGGGAACTAATAGTTGAATATGTATTTGGAAGGTTGATTGAAATTCTGTTTAGGTGTATAGAAGCTGTTAAGTTATAAGGGCGAGGGAGTGATATAAAAGATATTAGATATTATATAATTCTTTTATAGCTACTATTATATTTAACAACTCTCTAAAAGTCATCTCGCCGGAGTACTATATCAATTATGGTTATTGCGGGGTTAAAGGGCCGGTGGTTAATCGTAAAGGCGGGAAAGTGGTACTTGCTACACGGCAAGACTTGAAAGAAATTTCGAAAGTGACTTACGCCCAAGAATTTATAATTATATTATACGTCAGCTACAGTATTAATTATACTGTACTAGCTAGCCTCATTAAGTTATCAAACCAATACCTGGCACTCACTCTTTCAACCATTGAGTGAGTATAATTGACGATATCGCAACTTTTCAACTCCAAAAACCATCTTTTAATACAAGTTGCAACTCTGAGAAGATGAATCCTAGCGCGAGCTGCTGGCGAATTATTACTGCAGTACCGACACAACAGTTACCCTGTCTACATTTGTATCTGCTAGGCTAGGGTTACTCTACCAACGTCAAGACAGACCCAACATAACAGACCATCCAGTACCCGGATAAACCATAGATCTAAAATACACCTCTACGCACCTAAAAACCCTCCCGCCTCACACACAACTAACCATGGGCAAATCTACCCCCAAAGCCGCAACCAAGGACTCCAAAAAGGACACCAAGAAAGACTCCTCCTCCGGCTCCTCCTCGAAAGGCGGCAAGGACGACAAGCTCAAGCCCGCAAACTCTCTCAACGTGCGCCACATCCTCTGCGAGAAGCACTCAAAGATGGAGACGGTGCTCGAGCGCCTGGCGAACGGCGAGAAGTTCGATGCGGTGGCGAGGGAGTTGAGTGAGGATAAGGCGCGACAGGGTGGGTCGCTGGGGTGGAAGATCCGGGGGAGCTTGTTGAAGGCGTTTGAGGATGCGGCATATGCGCTGCCGGTGTCGACGTGTGATAAGCCCATCTATACGAACCCGGCGATTAAGACGCAGGAGGGGTATCATTGTGAGTGTTGTCTTGGGAGCGTCGGGCGTGGGTGGGGTGTGAGTGCTAATGCGGTCTGTAGGTATTATGGTAGAGGGAAGGAAGTAGATGTGGTCTTTCGGATTGACGAGCTGGGTGGGCGTTTCGGGGTGAAATTCGATGCTCTATGTTGAGACTTTGATGATTTCTCTTCTTTTCCTTTTTCTCTATTGCGATTGCTTGCGGGCGGCCCCCCCGGAGGTGTCGAATTGGGGTTTATCTGACTTGTTTAGCTACTGCGGTTCCCTTGAATGAATTATGATATTCCTTTCATAAAGGGATGAAAGTAATAGATGCAGGCGAAACAGCTGCAATCAAATCACTAATCGGATTGGGTATTCCAGCAGATAGTTTAGATAAATTCTTCAGCTCCGTTTGTTGAAAAACTGCTGGCATGTCACCGAATATTAACTCTGGCTTTTCATCCAGAGAATAGTAGATAGAAGTTACCCCCCAAAGCGTGCATGGGATGTTTTAGAAAGTCTCAATAACCAGAAAAGGTTAGAATGACATCAACTAGAAGCATCCGCGATTCGAAACTTTTGGGTTTAAAAGCCTAGTAGAACGGCCATCAAGCTCTCCTCCCTGCGTATAGCTTTGGCGACCAGGCTCTACCCTAATTTCCAAGCGGATGGCCAATTGTGCCTGCCGAGAGTTAATCCATTGACTGGCTGGCCACATTGAATTGGGTTCCAACTGGATGTTCCCTATTTCCGAATGTCCTAGGCGCTGCGTGAAAACGCTGATTCTAGATCCCTACTGCTAGGATTTTAAGTTGTCGTTGGGCCTCGATATATGCATTCCAACCCCGGGGGACATTCGCATGTAGAGTAAGGGCGGACCGGTCAATGCGTGGTTTAGTACGTCCTGGCACGCTGCAGAAGCGGTAGAAGACAGAACATGCTCCTCGAGATCTCTAGCTGCATAGTCAGACGGCGGATGGCGGGTGCCTACATACATGTATATCTGGACAGCAGCTAGGCATGCACTCAGCCGGCCCGCATCCGAGCGGCTGGGTACGTGTAGGCAGCCAGACATCCCTAGATGCCGAAATGTCAGTTACGCGATGACGTTGAGCAGCAAGAAGAAGTTGTTATTTGCGGCAATTCATTGCGGTCGTTGTTGGCAATTGCATTTTGTCAACATTTTTTTCACTTTGCAGTTTGGACGTGGCTCCAAACTATGTATGTCTTGGAGCCATTTTGTCCTCTACATTGTACCTATAAAGAGAAAGCCTTCTCTCTGGATCCCTCTTACTCTGTTTTGATCATTAGTTCTTACATATAGTAGACTTCAATTCATCGATTCTCCACTGCACTAAAGACCTTCTTAGAAAATATAAGTTTCTCTTGTTCGTTCCCAATGTGCGGCCGCCGATAACGTCTAGCTGTTTCTCTGAATGCAAGATCTGGCCCTCGCTCATTCACATCGCCCATGTAGGATAGAACCAACCACATAGACCTCGAGCTTGCTGCATATAAATTGCCAAGACTATGTTTATAGCAGGCTTCTGGGCCTCCTCGAATCTTGTGAGAGTCTTATAGAATCTCCGGTTAATTAGTGAGGAGTACTCGCTGGTCGCCTATGGTTTACATAGTCCTTGAAGAATGATTCTAACCATATATGCGTGTAGCTGACAGGCCCATTGCATATTGCCGGCGCTTCAGTATACCGGCATTGCATTGGCTATCGGTCGGAAAGATCTACTAGATCCAGGACCATCACGGTGAAGATGGAATTGCTGCAGAATCTACTCGAATATAGTAGCTAGCAGTATATCCAAGGCGGGAGGGGGTTAACGTTAGAGGTTTCCCCTCCGCGATACTGGTCAAAACGGGGGGTTTCGTTCGGCATTCTCTAGTATTAATGCGATTTTGTTTTTTATCTCGATCCCGTGCTGGAGGTCATGTACGGCCCTGGTGGTGTAGTCTAGTACACAGGAGTCATGTATAGCTTTTTGAATCCTCAAAACTTCCCGCTATATCTAGATATCTGGAAAGATCACATCGTCGATTCGAAGGCCCAGAACATCTAAACGTGGCATTAATTGAATATAAAAACTCACAAACACCCCTCCTCTCACCCACAAACGTTCATCTAACACCGCCCTCTGCCATAAGAGACCCCGATCACCAACCCACACAATGGCAACCCCCGACCACAGCCGCTGGAAAGCCATCGGTTGTCTCTTCTGCACGCACACCACTACCGGCCACCGCACCGCCACCCTTCAACGCAGACTCCACGCCCACCTTAGTGCCTTCAGCGTCCCCGCAGTCCCCTTCAACCACGACACCGGCTCCTTCTGGGAGCGCAACCGTCACCAGCCCGATGTCCACCCTGTCGGGCATCCGCAGTCACAGCCCGCCAGTGGTGGTAAGAGGCCAGTAAGTAGGGTGTGTGTGGACGAGTTCCACCACGTGGGAATTATCACGGCGCTGTATAGTGCGCAGGGCGGGCGGGCGGCGGCGTTGGGGACAGTGAGTGAGATCCGGGCGTACCCGTGGCCGGCGGGGCTGATGAAACCGGTTTGGAGCCACGATGAGATTAAGGCTTTTGTGGTGCGGCAGTTTGGAAAGGTGGCGGCGATGGAGCTGTTGGAAGAGTTGCATGTAAGTTGGTTGTTGTGTGGTGTGACGGGGCCAATGATACTAATTACATGTTATTTATGTAGATACTGAAACACTTGTGCAAAACACCCATCCCCAGTGCATGGTGGGAGGAGAAGGTGATGCAGGCAGTGGCCTTGGTGACAACGAGTGTCAAGAGCCCCTCTCGCGGGGTCGAGGTTATCTGCATCAACGACTTCATCAACGACACCCTTTACCAGGCCCATAAGCTGTGGTACAACCATCCCCGATACTCCCAATTGTATGACCCCTGACATCTTCCTAAATCTCATGTCTTCTGGGTGCTTCGCTGCTGATGTAGATGCCAGCAAGACAATGGGATGCTTTGACTCCACCAAATTCGAGGCGTTCCCTGGCACCATAGGAGGAACCGAGATAGACATGACCAAATACCCATACGTCTACGGCTACAAGCCTCAGCCGCCAGCACCCTCAAAGAAAAACATGACATTCATAAAAACCCCTGAGACCGTGACCACGGGACCGACGAGCGACAATATTTACAAGCCTATGCCGTACAAAACGTGCTCTAGGAAATACATGCTCCCGGAGGTGGAATATGGTGTGAGCAGCGTCTTCTATTAAAATCTTTTGTCTTACTATAGCTAACTATAAATAAATATTCGTGTACAGCTGGACAGATACGAGGACGACGAAGAACCAAAATACACTCCCCCAGAATCTGTGGTCCCAAATCCCCGACAGATGCCGCAGTATGTTCCGAAGCCTATCCAGGCCCCCGTTGTAAATAGGAAGCCGGAGATGCCCACGGTCTTCATAATTAAGAAGAAGAGAAAAGTGCCGCCCACAATGAAGACCGAACCCGGAATCAAGGCGGAACAAGGGGAGCTAGGGGCCTCGACGCAGCCTGTCATCAAGAAAGAAAAAATTACCGGCGAGGGACACATCAAGGAGGAGAACAGGAGGATGGGTCCCGTGCAGCCGCTGGTGGTAAATTCCGTACTGCCTCCGGTGGTGAGGGGGGCAGGACATGATGGTGCTTGTGATGGGAATATCGGGAAGCCGAAGAGCGGGGGGGGTGTCTACTGGAAAGAGTCTTTTTAAGCCGAGGAGCGAAGGTGTATTTGGTGGACAGAGTTTCTTTAAGCCAGCCTCTAGGAACGAGGAGAAGGGGGAGAAGGGTAAGCTGGATAGAAAAGAGCCGAGCTCAAAGGGGAACAAGACGTTTACGAATGCTGTGTTTGTGGATATCACCTCGCACTAAATGTGTATGTAGGTTAATCATGACGGTTAGGAAGGAATAGGGTAGGAGGTGGCATGGGGTTAAGGACAGACTTTGGGAGGTTTTGGGTGATGTGACATGGTTAGATAGGGGGGTTGAGCTGCATACATGTACTTGTGGTTTTTATTTATCCAGCTGGTGGAATCTACTCGTGTTCGTTACTGGTGTCGACGTGGCTCTGAATTACCTGCAGTTTTGTCTTGGAGCCATTTTGTATTCTAAACCGTACCTATAAAGAGGAACCTTCTCCCCCCTTCCTTAATTCAGTTTTCATACATGCACAGTTGACAATTAATAGACTTCATTCATCCGTTCTCTACTGCTCTAAAGATTACCCCGGCGAATTAATGGGTAGGTTGGAGTAACGTGTTTCACCCGGTTGTTAATCTCTCCTCATTGGCCTTTATTATGACGAGTGAGAAAGTTTGACCGAGTGATTATCAATGAAGGGATTTCTGGGTGCTTAGCAAAGTAATGTATACAATTATATGTACAATTCTAACTTTCCGTCCTCGATACGCCTGGGCTATGTATCATGAGGTTTATGCAAATCCTATACCCTCTAGTATTGAATCGTCAACTGCCATCGGAACAGGTCTGAAATTCCCGGCAAGTGCAATCGTTAATTCATAATTATTAGGGCATTATCTACACTACCTACATACAGCCAACAAACACAAAAGCCAAGTCTCACCAACGCCGTCTATCTATCGATCTACCCAGCTGCATCCTCCCATTACCCCTCCTTCCCCTTCACCACACTCGGCCCCTCCACCAGCTCCGGCACCAACCTCCCCACCAGCAAATCCAGCACCGCGTACCACAAATGCCTATTCACCTCCTTATCACCCCACACATCCACACACCACTCCCCCACCCACCTCCTCCTCCCCTCCTTATCCCCGTCCTCCCCAACCCACACGCCCCACACCGCCTCCGGCACCCGCTCCACAAGCACATCCACCGCCCGCCTCCTCACAGCCGCCACATCCACCGGCGCGCCCCCAGCACCCATCGGCGCATTCCCGGGGAACAGCAGACCCCTCGCCCGCCAGAGCGCCTCGGCCACCACGCTGCTCTCGAGGCCGCCCGTGACAGCGTCGGCGATCAGCCCGTCCACAGCGGCGCCGATGCGGCCGGTGGTGAGCGGGCGCAGCAGCAGGCAGAGGATGCCCCAGAGCCACGGCTGCAGCAGCGGGACGCCGAGGTAGACGGGCAGCAGGCGCACGGCGGCCATGGCCAGGAAGGGCTTTTTTGCGCGCGGCGGCCGCGGCGGCGGCGGCGGCGGCGTGTGTAGGGTGTGTAGGAGCGAGACGGCGAAGGCCTTGAAGCCGAGGAGGAGCAGCAGCATGGCCGAGAGGGCGGATTCGAGCGCTGGCGGGATGCGGATGGAGGGTGTTTTTGCGCGTGCTTGTTGGTGGTGCAGTGGCCTCGGTTCCGGCGGCGGCGGCGGCGGCGGCGGCGCAGCAGGAGGAGGGGGAGGGGGGGGAGAAGGAGGCCGCGCTAGCAGACTGGTGATGAGCCCGTGTAGCATCGCCGGCTCGCTCATCTTCTCGACCAGTCCGCCGACCGCCATCGCCGCCAGCAGGTCGCGCACAAATGTCCTCGCGCAGGGGCTCTGCAGCTTTTGCACCGGCAGCAGGGCGTCGAGGAGTGCGTGGGACAGGAGCTTGTTGTACTGCTGCGTCGCCTCCGCGCTCGCGAGCGCCGGGTGGGGCTGCAGGTTGTGGAACAGCTCCGCGGGGGTGTGGTGGCTCACCGTGCCAGCGCGGGCATGCGCGAGCCGGTGGTCCGTGATGTGGCGTGTTACGAGCGCGGGGAGCTCGTCGAGGAGTAGGAGGGGTATATCAATCTGCACACTATACATTAGCCCGCACCCCGCAACCCCCCCCCTTTTTTTCTTCTTTTCAAACCGGCGGAATCCAGCTAGCACTCACACCATCGACCCGCCTCTCCACCTCGGCCACAACGTCTGCGACGACCTTGACCACCTCGCTGATGAACTCGCGGTCGCTGCTGATGCCCGTGTACCAGGTGTCGATGTAGTCGCGGCAGACGATGGCGAGGAGGGCGTACAGCTGCATGTCGATGTCGGGGTGCTTTGTGATGGGCGGGAGGAGGGAGGAGAGGGGTTGGGTGGGCGGCGCGTGCGCGCAGAGGACGCGGCGGATGAGGGAGAGGGTGGGGGCGTCGAGGAGGTCGGGCATTGCTGCGTGGTGAGTCTGGGGGGGAGGTGAGGAGGTTTGAAGCTGTGGTTGGAGCTGTGCTAGTCGAATGGCGAGATTTGAATGGCGGACTGAATGGTGAAGTTTGAAGCCGTTGAAGGTGAGGTTATTGAAGGTGACGTTATGGCAGTGCGTGATAGCTGAGAATAAGTTAGCGAGCCATCCCATCCCATCCCAGCACAGGCCATAGATCAGATTAGCTGGTTACGTTTGTCTTGTAATTATCATCACATCATCCCCGGATGCCAATGATCAGACGGCGGGTTATCCAGAGAAAAAAGGCTTGTGAAGAGAAGATTGCCCCGTTGCTGCGTTGCTGCGTTGCTGCGTTGCTATGCGAGCGTGAGCGTGAGGCGAGGGTGAGGGTGAGGTTGCGAAGCAGGTGTGAGGTGGACAGGGTTAGGTCTAGCTGCTCACGCCCACTCCCGCACTTGGCGACCCTAGTTAGTTAGTTACGTCGCTGCAGCCATCTTTGAAACTTGAGACGAGCGCTCACCAACGAAGGCCCGAGGGAGGGATAGTCTATTTACCATAGCATGTCTCGAGTAGGAAAGTATCCAGAGCAGAGTCGAGTATCCAGAGTCTCCAGAATCGTAGTCCCTCCCGCTTACCGTGCCGTGCCGTCCTCTGCGGTCCCCGTCAAAAGCTTCACACTGGCAGGGAGAGAGAGAGAGAGGCCCGAACAAAAAGGATCTCACGAGCGCACGCCGGCAGGGCAGGGCAGGGCAGGGCAGGGCAGGGCAGGGCAGGGCAGGGATTCAGGCCCTTAGCCGCTGCAGCCCACATGTCTTTTTTTTTTTTTTTTTCGCTTTCTCACACTTTTCACAGGTCGCCCTGCATGGCTGGCCGGCAAGCATTTGTTTGTGCACTCGGAGCCAAACAAATGGCCAGATTGGTAGATTGCTAGATTGGGCGTGCATGTGTGAGTGGTTGGTGGGTCGGGTGAGCAGGAGAAGAAAAGAGGGGGTGGGTGACAGGAGGGTGCATGGGTGGGGGGAGGACAGGGAAGGGAGGGGAGGGGAGGGGGGCTATCGATAAGATTGGGGGAGGGGGAGGGGAGGGGAGGGGAGGGGAGGGGAGGGGAGGGGAGGGAGGGGTGGCTTGGCGGTCGCAACAGAGTACACACGCGACAGTGCACTGGATATGAGAGGGGGAGGGGGACTGAGAGAGGGACTGAGAGAGGGACTGCGTGCACTCTACTCTAGCTGGACTGGACTGCACTGGACTGCACTGGGCTGGGCTGGAATGCAGACTTACCCCACTTACTCTCCTCTCCTCTCCTCTCCTCGAGGCTCGAGCTCTTGTTCATCCCCACACCCTCTTCTTCTTCTTCTTCTTCTTCTCCCCCTTCTTCTTCTTCTTCGTGGCTGGCTTGCTGGCTGGCCGGTTGACATCTCACCTGCCTCCGCGCCCTTCTGATCGCCTTTTTTTCTTTTTTTCTTTTTTTCCGCGAGTGTTCTTTTTTTTACCCGTTGGGAGGAGAGGAGGTCGTACATATATACAAGATAGTGGACTCGCTGCCTTCTTCTTCTTCTTCTTCTTCTTCTTATTCTTTTCTTCTTTTTCTTCTTCTGTTCTTCTGCTGCTCTTCTGCTGCTCTTCTGGAAACACTCAGTTTAGACCTCGACTCGACCTATCAAGCCACAGTCAGTGCCGTGAGCCGACGATAGCTCGATCGGTACTTCTCTCTCCACCCCGCAAACAAGCAGACCACCGACCAGCAGCAGCACCCACAATGCCCACCCGCCGCCGCCGTCTCCTCGACCGCCTCTCGCGCATCAGCTCCTCCCCGCAGCTCACCACGCCCTCCGCCCTCGGGTCCCCCCTCTCCCCCGCGCTCACCCCGCACCACGCCTCCTCAACCCTCACGCTCGCCACACCCCCCCCGCACCCCGCCCAAACCGTGCAAATCCCCTACGGCACCGACGGCGAGTCCCTGCACATCACCATCCCGCTCCCCCCCCGGCCCCGCCGCGACCTCTGGACGCCCCTCCCGCCCGAACTCAAACTGCACATCCTCAGCCACCTCTCCACCCCGGACCTCCTGCGCACGGCGCCCACCTCCCGCGACTTCGCATCCCTCACGCGCGACGGCCAGCTCTGGTCCACGCTCGACACAACGCACTACTACACGCGCATCCCCGCGTCGCAGCTCGCAGCCCTCATCACCTCCTCCGCCCCCTTCCTGCGCCACCTCAACCTCCGCGGCTGCCTCCAGCTCGCCGCCGACTGGCGCCAAGACGCAACGTACTCCGCGCCGCGCAACCTGCGCTCCGTCATCCTCGAGGGCGCCCAGCCCTCCAAGGCCGCCCTGGGCGCCATCGTCCACCGCAACGCGGCCCTCGTCCGCCTCGACGTCTCCGGCTGCCGCGCACTCACCTTCAGCGTCGCGCGCCTCATCGCCACGTCGCTGCCGGCGCTCGAGGCGGCCGACGTCAGCTGGTGCGCTGGCCTCGAGGCCCGCGGCCTCAAGCGGATCGTGGAGGGGTGCGGCCGACTAAGGGAGCTGCGCGCGTGCGGCGTCAACGGCGTCGAAGACGCCACCGTCATGAGCGCGATTCACAGCGCGAATCGAATCACGAGGCTGGATATGAATAGCTGTGCGGGTCTCACGGACGATGCCATCCGCACGCTGTGTCTGGGCCCCTACCACCACAGTAGCAGCGGGGCGGCGCCGCCGCCGCCGCGCAGACTCACGTGGCTGGCCGTGTCGTCGTGTCCACGGATTACGGACGCGGCGCTGCATGTGCTGGCGGCGCATGCGCCGCACCTGGAGGGGTTTGAGGCGGCGGCGGACGTGGGGGTGACGGACGCGGGGCTGGCGGCGCTGTTTGGCGGCGCCAGGGGGCTGTCGCATGTTGATGTTGAGGGGTGTGTTGCGGTTAGTGATGCTGCGGTTACGGCGCTGGCACGGCATGGGAAGGTGGTGTATCTGAATGTGGGGAGCTGCGCGGATGTCGGGGATGGCGGCGTGGTGGAGGTGCTGAGGAGGTGCGCGGGGGTGAGGTGTGTGGAGGCGGATGGGACGGCGGTGACGGATCGCGTGCTGGATGAGGCGGTGAGGGCCGTGCGGTATAGGGGTGTCGCGGAGGTGGCGCTGGCGGTGTATGATTGCCCCGGTGTGACGTGGGAGGGGGTGCGCGCGGTGATGGGGCAGAATTCGGGGGGTGTGGGGGGACGGGTGAAGGTGAAGTGCTATTTTGGGTGGCAGGCGGTGGTGGATACGCATTGGGAGAGGTGTGGCAGGGGCGAGATGGGCGACGCGGAGAAGGTGGAGAGGGCGTGGGCGGCGTTTATGGGCGGCGAGGAGGGCGGGAGGAGGAGGAGAAGGAGGGGCGGCGCGTGGATGTGGGAGGGGGGTGCGGGGGCGGGGGTGGACAGGAGGGGGAGGGGACGGTGTGTGGTGTGTTAGTAGGTGTAGGTAGTTTGTTATTTTCTTTCTTTCTTTTTCTTTTCGTTCTTTCTTGGGGTTCTGGGTCTCTTTCTTTCTTTCTTCTGTCTGGTGCGGTGCGTTTCTGTTTGGTGCGGTTCTCTTCCTTTTGGTTCGGTGCTTGTGCGTTCTCTCCTTCCTCATGTGGGTATTCTGGTTCTGGTCCTTTCTCTCTCTCTCTCTCTCTCTCTCTCTCTCTCTCTCTCTCTCTCTCTCTCTCTCTGGCCTCCTCCAGCCTTCTATCCGGTCTTCTCTCTTCCCCATGATTTTCCTTTGTGTAACGTGACCGAGTGATGATCCATGATCCGACGGTGTGGCTTTGGGTGGCGTATTTGTGCTTTTTTTTTTGGTGTGTGTTTTGTGTTTTGTGTATGCTAGGAGTGTGTTAGATGGCTTGTTTGTAGGTACGTTGTAGCGTAGGTGGGGAGGCGGGGGCAATATATGGATTTGACTTTAAATTTACGGTGTGGTTTGTGCTGTGTGCGGTTGTGATTGTGAGTGATGTGTGCGGTTGTGGGTGGGTGGGTGGTTGTGGGTGAGCGGTGAGGGTGGTGAGGGTGGTTGTGAAGTAATTGTGATTGTGGTGATGAGCCGAGTGATGGTTAGTAGTGAGAACGTGAGCTTTCAATAGACTGGCGAGACCGCAGCTAGCATGCGCTATGTAGCTGCTGGACACAGGATATCAATAACCCACCCACCCGCCCGCCAATCCGCCCGCCAGCCAGCCAGCCAGCCAGCCAGCCATTACAATCTATGTAATAGTAGCAACCATGCGCATGAGGCAGGACTCAGTGCCTGCTCTCTAAATTATAAAGCTGGCATTCATACATACCCTGCCACCCACGGCCATTGTTTTTTTTTTTCTCGTGCACGCCCAGCGGGGGGACAACAGATCAGATGGAGAAAGAAAGTTGCTAGGTGGAGGAGAGGTGGTAAACCAATGATGATCTGAAGCAGAACAAAAGGGCTGGCGGGGTGTCGTAGTCATGTCCGAGGCCCAGTGGGCCATGGGATGGGGGCGCGCGGGCAAAAGAAAAGACAAAAAAATGTCCCCCAACCCTCATCCCCTAATCTCTTCTGCCGAACCACTTGATGGGCTGAGCGCGCGCATATCAAGACACGGGCAGGGAGTGAGGCAATGACTCAATACCGCTGGGCTATTCAATCCGATGCTTGGGGTGCTTGTTTTGGTTGCTTTGAGGGGCGTGCGTTGGGCTTTTGGCGTAATGCTTAAATACGCGACGCTCAAGTCGCTCCTGGGTTGGGTTGGGCCCTATATTCCGGTTGGCCTGGATCTACACCATGCATCTCACGCCCGCGGCAGTACTGTGGTCCGGCCGGAGCGGCTGTGGGCTATGGGCGGAAAAGGAGAGGGGTTAGTTTGTATGCCGTCATGGGTGGTCACTCGTTTGGCTTGGCGTGGATGTGGGTGATCATGGGTCGAGGCATTGATCGCGTTCGTCCCTTCTGTGTTTTTTATGGGTCACAGCCTATTCTATTCGTCCAGCTACGGTTACCTGATACTTGGGGAGTCGGCGACAAGATGAACAGGGACCCCTAACCTCGGCTCGTCCCCACCCCCTCTACTTCCATGCTTCCAGGGACTTGCTGCTAAGTAGGGGATGGGTGCGAGACTACCCCTAACCCTATAGATGTTAACCACTCCTTCACCGCACCCCACTCTCTCTCTCTCTCTACCCTTCATCCTATCACTGTTCTTCATCCATCCACCTTTTCATCTCCGCTGTTCTCCAACCTTTATTATACCCCGTTTTTCACGTGTGTCTTTTGTTTCTAGATTCAAATCCAGTGTCTGTGTGTGCTCTCGCACTTATGTCTGTTCTTCACCCCACTCTTTCCTCACTTGTTCGTCCCTACATGTAACCATTCCCTGAGTCTTCGTTCGTTCCGCCATCATCTTTTACCCTCGCCATCTACTGTATCCCCCGCTACACCAGATTATCTATCCGCACTCTGTTCCGCTTCATTCTTCACCCCCATCACACTTCACTTCATGCACTGATCACTCACTCCTTTGATCCACGCCGTTCTTTTATGCCCTTGTATCCGGTCTTGGTCTCACGTCTCTCTTTCCTCATCTCCATCCATCCCGCTCATCGTCTACACATCTTTTGGCTTTTTCCTGTACTATGTTTATTCATCATCTCGTTGCTGGTCACTTGCCCCGTCATCTTTGCCTCTATCCTCCACACTCTTTACCTATTCGCCTGGCCGTTTTAATTTCCTGGTATATACTATCCCATTCCTCCATCATCCTGATTCTTCGCTCCCTTTCTTTTTTTTTTTTTCCTTCACTTTCCCGTTTTATTTTTTTTTTTTTTCTTTCCAGGGGGGGGGGGGGGGGGCTCCCACGTCACCGAGGCGGGAGGCGCAGATACAGCGGGCAAAACTTCCTAGGACTTTCATTCTCCTCATATATCAATCCGACGCGAGTGTCTCAACTAAAGATCAAGCCAGCACGAACCCTGTGGGCATTTCTGTAACAAAAAAAAAAAAAAAAAAAAAAGAAAGCATCTGTGCGCCTGGCCTTGTTTGGCGGGAGTTGCTGCCAGCTGACAGATGTGATGAGGTTTCTGAGATTGTGAGAGAAGTTCCCACGTTCTCAAAAGCTTCATCACACTTGTTGGCTTGCAGCAGTCCGACTAAGCGGGGGCTAGGTGCGCAGAGGCTTTCTTTTTCGCGCGATGACCCCTTTTTTTTTTTTTTCCCTGGTCAACATGTAAGTGCATCCTATCTGGCAGATTTCTGCATATACAACTAGGAGCGTAAAACTGATTTTTTTTTTATTGGACAGCAGGGTTTGTAAATCATATGGTTTTCAAAGTGCGCAACGATTTTGGGCTGTCAGGCGCTTATATATCAACGCCAGGAAGAAAACACTCCGCGAACAAGAAAGCATCTGTGCATCTACCCCCCTACTTTGTGAGAGTTGGGACGAACTGGCAGGTGTAGTAAATTCCTGGTGTCTGTATCAGTGCGGGAATTTTTTTATCACACTTGCCAACTTGTGATAGTCCGACCAGGCGGGGCTAGGTGCACGTAAGCTTTCTTGTTCACGCGGTGACTTTTTTCGGTGGTTAGAATGTAAGTCTATCCGGTCCATCGGATTTCTGTAGAGCTGCTAGCATACGACTGATTATGAATTGGGTAGGACTTGGAGATCATATGGTTTATCCAGATCTAAACAATACGCACTAGGGAATGGTTGAAGGAAGGGCGTCCCGTCAATTGTTTGAAATGTTGTAACAGGACAGTTATAATGATGACACTTGAGTCCATAGCTAAGGAGGTAGGAGAACTGTGTTTCCCCATGGATATATGAACAGGCTAGCGATCTACAATATCATTGCAAGGGACATCTTCGAGACGATTGCATGGGGCGGATCGTAACTACACCCCAATGGACGTATCTATAGTCACATTTCAACCGTGTGATTTCCTGGCACAGCAGTTTCAACCAAGAAGACATAAAAGGAGGGAAATCACCCAAGTTGTGAAGAGATACTCCGGAAAAGTCAATTGATGACTGGAATTCATTGACGGGCTGTCAACATCCACATATGCTAATTGATCTAGACAAACAAAATATCGAACCTCCTAACAACTCTAGGACAATCGTTCGAAGAATAATAATAACAGTAGAAAAAGCTGGTCCGGAATGGGATGATGGGCAGAAAGCGAAGGAACGAACCAAAACCACCTCCCATTGAGAGCTGGTTGCACCAGATCACACAAAATCACTCGTCAAGTCTTGGCAGTCTCGAATCTCAGCAAGTTCGGGCTTAAACTTCCATAAACATAGCGAGTTAATCAAATAGGTAGGGCATGTCTTCCTAAGTTAAAATTTAATAGGTAAATGGCTTATCTCATCTATGGAGCCTGTCAGTTGACTCATCTCAACATGAAACAGTCGATAGAGTTTCGAGTCGTCGAAGTTCCTATCGTTGCCGCGTGTGCTGGGGTTTTAAAAGAATATTTTAAAAGTGTGCAAAGGGGTAATGACCCAAGACACTCCCTATTTGGAGAGAGACGTCATCAGGAATACCTCGGCTCATTCCTCTAGCCCGAAAGGGCCCAGGCCATATAACACAACCAGCGTAGCCACTCTAGTACTAAAGGTCAAAGTGAATACTCTTGCGGTGTTATTCGATGGGATTTAAGTCCTTTACGCTAATCTCTGCGTTTCCCACATAATCAAGCGCAATACCTTCAACATGGGCAAAAATGGAGCGTAGGTTGATACGGACTCCGAAATCTGGGATGTATATAATAAAACATCAACGCTTCATAGCAAAAACAAGGAAAATAAGTGGGTCTAGAAAATGCCTCTGTCCCTAGGCATGGGGTAACGGAACTAGGTTCTATCAGCGCTTCCTCGACACCGTCCACAATGTTATTTCAAGACTCAAATAGAGTAAAACACTTCATCCTAGAGAAAACTACATGTAGTGGAAACGGTAGCAATAGGCATCAACCTCTGGATACTTTTCATACAACGATGTGTTCACACAGGGGCTTGATGATATACGGACATCGATTGACGCATTTACTAGACGATCCAACTAGAGTAAAAAGATGGCATATCTCTTCCACTGCAGAAATATTTCATCCACTACTCTACTTCTGCATAAGGCTTCGGCAATCTGTACAACTTCGTTATTTGGTTTATTCACAAGTCATCACTCGACGCTCTATCTTGCACTTACAGTCGAGCTATGAGCCCTTCGCCCTTCGCCTTAAGCGTGTATCAAGCACCCGGCTCAGGCGGGCCCAGATTTGATTATAAAACAGACAAAAGAGATCTCTAATCTTCTAGGACTCTCACGGGATAATCTCCTGACTCGCTTTCATTTATTGGCTCAGGCAGGGCTTGTTTGTTTCATAAAAATTTGTGTCTTCCAAAGCCTGGCCTGCCCAGGAAGAGAGAATACATAAGATTCAGAAAGTAACCTATTACATAG